TAGAGATGATCTATCACATCAAGCCGAATAACGGGGATATACCCATAGACCTATATGAAGTCGAAGGTACACGACCCATGTGGCGAAAACTTACACGGAATGCACATTCATCATATGCCCATTCATTGGCAACGGTAACCTGGAATGACATAGTACCACTAACAGTGGATGAAATGATTCATAAACTCTGAGAGTTTGAAGACAATCTCACCCCTTCTATCATCTCAGCTGTGGAAAAACAGTCCCAGGATCTCAAACAATTGAGGGACGATCTATCTGATCTATCCAGCTCTTCACGTGCACCAGCACGTCTCAGCTATTAAGAAAAGGCGACCTATTGTTCTAGAGAGAAGATACAGAAGGTATACGCCATGGGACACCCTATGGTTTTACCTGGAGGATCACGGAGAAGATGTGACAAAGTGGGATGGAAAACCTACTTCAGCTTTGGAGGAATGGGTGCGTGAATTGAAGAGGGGAACAAGGGTCAAGGCTGATCATCCCATTAGAGCTGTGGCTTCAGTCTCTGGTGAGCAGGTTCCCAGATGGAGTGGAAGAGCTGATTTTACTCCAACTCCTGTGATAACGAAGAATAATCCCTTTCAACACGACTTAAGTGTCCAATGTTGTGATGACTATTAGAGGGGCCCTGCCTCCAGCCAGGTGGAGGTAGGGGACAATCGGATTTACTGGACTGTGTGGATCAGATGGCCTGGCACATCAGTCCCACAGAAGTATAAGGCTCTAGTAGATACCGGTGCACAGTGTACCCTGATGCCATCAAGCTGTCAAGGGGTGGAACCCATCTATATTTCTGGAGTAACAGGAGGATCCCAAGAGTTGACTGTACTGGAGGCTGAAATCAGCCTGACTGGGAGGAAATGGAAAAAGCACTCCATTATGACTGGTCCAAAGGCTCCGTGCATCCTCAGCATGGACTACCTCAGGAGAGGGTAGTTCAAAGACCCAAAAGGGTACCGGTGGGCTTTTGGTATTGCTGCTTTGGAGACTGAGGAAATTGAGCAGCTGTCCACCTTGCCTGGTCTCTCAGAGGATCCTTCTGTTGTGGGGTTGCCGAAGGTCAAAGAACAACAAGTGCCAATTGCGACCACAACAGTGCACCGGCAGCAATATCGCACCAACCGAGACTCCCTGATTCCCATCCATCAGTTGATCCGTAGACTGGAGAGTCAGGGGGTGATCAGCAGGACCCGCTTGCCCTTTAATAGCCCCATATGGCCAGTGCGAAAGTCTAATGGAGAATGGAGACTAACAGTAGACTATCGTGGCCTGAATGAAGCCACACCACCATTGAGTGCTGCCGTAGTGGACATGCTAGAACTTCAGTGTGAACTAGAGTCAAAGGCAGCCAAGTGGTATGCCACGATTGATATTGCCAATGCATTTTTCTCCATTCCTTTGGCAGGAGAGTGCAGGCCACAATCTGGTTTTACCTGGAGGGGCGTCCAGTACACTTGGAACTGACTGCCCCAGGGGTGGAAACACAGCCCTACCATCTGCCATGGACTGATCCAGACTGCACTGGAACAGGGGCAAGCTCCAGAACACCTGCAATACATTGATGACATTAGCGTGTGGGGCGATACAGTGGAAGAAGTCTTTGAGAAAGGGAGGAAACTAATCCAAATCCTGCTGAAAGCCGGTTTTGCCATAAAACAGAGTAAGGTCAAGGGACTTGCACAGGAGATTCAATTTTTGGGAATAAAATGGCAAGATGGACGTAGACAGATCCCCACAGATGTGATCAACAAGATAACAGCAATGTCTCCACCAACTAATAAGAAAGAAACGCAAGCTTTCTTGGGTGCTGTGGGGTTCTGGAGAATGCACACCCCGAATTACAGTTCGATTGTAAGCCCTCTCTATCATGTGACCCAGAAGAAGAATGATTTTAAATGGGCCCTGAGCAACAGCAAGCCTTTGAGCAAATTAAACGCGAGATAGTTCATGCAGTAGCCCTTGGACCAGTTCAGACCGGGCCAGATGTAAAAAACGTACTGTACACTGCAGCTGGGGAGAACGGTCCTACCTGGAGCCTCTGGCAGAAAGCTCCAAGGGAGACTCGAGATAAACCCCCTGGCTTGTGGAGTCAGGGATACAAAGGCTCTGAGGCCAGCTATACCCCAACTGAGAAAGAGATACTGGCAGCATATGAAGGGGTTCGAGCTGCTTCGGAAGTGACTGGCACTGAAGCACAGCTCCTCCTGGCACCCCGGCTGCTTGTGCTGGGCTGGATGTTCAAAGGCAGGGTCTCCTCTACACATCATGCAACTGATGATACATGGAGTAAATGGGCTGCACTAATTACACAACGAGCTCAAATAGGAAATCCCAGTCATCCAGGCATTCTAGAAGTCATCATGGACTGGCCAGAGGGCAAAGATTTTGGAATGTCACCAGAGGAGGAGCTGATGCGTGCTGAAGAGGCCCCACTGTATAATAAACTGTCAGAAAGTGAAAAGCAGTATGCCTTGTTTACTGATGGGTCCTGTCATATTGTGGGAAAGCATCGGAGATGGAAGGCAGCTGTATGGAGTCCTGGACGACAAGTTGCAGAAACTGCTGAAGGAGAGGGTGAATTGAGTCAGTTTGCCAAGGTGAAAGCCATCCAGCTGGCCCTGGACATTGCTGAACGAGAAAAGTGGGCAGTACTTTATATGGACTCATGGATGGTGGCAAATGCCCCGTGGGGGTGGTTGAAGCAATGGAAGCAGAGCAACTGGCAACGCAGAGGTAAACCCATCTGGGCTGCTGCACTGTGGCAAGATATCGCTGCCCAGGTGCAGAACCTCGTGGTGAAGGTACGTCATGTAGATGGCCCTGTACCCGAGAGTCGGGCCACTGAGGAACACCAGAACAATCAACAAGTGGATAAAGCGGCTAAGATTGAAGTGGCTCAGATGGACTTAGATTGGCAACATAAAGGTGAATTATTTTTGGCCCTGTGGGCCCATGACACTTCAGGCCATCAGGGCAGAGATGCAACAAATAGATGGGCTCGTGATCGAGGGATGGACTTAAGAATGGACACTATTGCCCAGGTTATGAAACATGTGCTGCAATTAAACAAGCCAAGCGGTTAAAGCCTCTTTGGTATGGAGGACGATGGTTGAAGTATAAATATGGGGAGGCCTGGCAGATTGACTGTATCACACTGCCACCAACCCGCCAAGGGAAGCGCCATGTGCTTACCATGGTGGAAGCAACCATGGCCCAGCCCAGTCAGAACTTTTACATATTGCAGAGGGGGACAAAGTTCCCGTGGTGCATATGAAGAATTTGCTGGGGAAGACAGTCTGGGTAATTCCTGCTTCAGGTAAAGGCAAACCCACTCGTGGGATTGCTTTTGCTCAGGGACCTGGATATACTTGGTGGGTAATGCAGGAAGATGGGGAAGTCTATGTATACCTCAAGGGGATTTGATTTTAGGGGAAAACAGCCAATGAACTTAAGTGTATGCTGTTGCCTGCTATGTAATACTTTTATAGCCCATCAACTAGATGCCTCGAAGTCACCAGTTACTGGCCCTGACTTCCCTCCAACCATCATCCCAACAGAGAATGAAATTTGATAGAACCAGACAAGTTCTGCAGTAAAGGAATGATCAGCAGGCAACAATCCAACACTGCACACAGCCTCTCCTGCCCCAAAAGACTGTTACGAGAGATGGAACCTTACATCCATGACCAAATGGACTCAGCAGCATTATAGGGATTGGTCCATGCACTAAGAAATGATTTCTTTCTATGTGCGTGTATGTGGATATGTGTATATATATATATATGTAAGAGCAATGGTATATTGAAAACATGGGATCTGAACATGACATGAGTGGTATGGAATAAGGAGTGGATACTGTCCTGGGTTCAGCAGTGGCAGTCATTTTCTCTTCTTCTTAGTAGCTGGCGCAGCGCTGTATTTTTCACTTTCGGCCTGGGAACAGTGCTGATAACACCAACGTTTTTAGTTACTGCTCAAATGTTTGGTCTGACCAAGGACTTTGTGAGTCTCATGCTCTGCCAGTGAGGAGGGGAAGCCAGGAGGAAGCAGAAACAGGACACCTGACCCAAACTAGCCAAAGAGGTATTCCATTCCACAGCACATCATGTCTGGGAGGTAACTGGGAGTTACCCGGAAGGGCACAGACCGCTCAGTCAGGCTCGTTTTTGGCAGGTGGTATTGTATGCTCTTCCTTTGTTATTTCCATTATTATTATTATTGGTGGCAGCAGTAGGGATTTGTGTTATACCTTAGTTACTGGACTGTTCTTATTTCAACCCATGGGACTTACATCCTTTCAACTCTCCTCCCCATCCCTCTGGGAGCAGGGGGGCAGGGGCTAGACTGCATGGCTGACTTGACAACAGTTTAAACCACAATACACATGCTCCACAGACTGCAGCTTATTTGCTCCATGCTGCTAAATTCCATAAGCACTTCAGCTTTCTCCTTATTTACTGTTGCCACATTTGCCTGAACAAACCTATCATTGCACCACAGTAGGAGAAGCATTCCCTGACTTCTTCTGTGCCAAGTATAAACTCCAGCTCACGCAGGACTGAGTCTTTGGCTTGGCTCACAGCAGGAACACAGCATTGACTCAGTGCTGGAGATATCACCAAAATCATTTGAAAGAAAGCAAACCACATCACAGAACACCACAGCATCCCTGACTCTGTTGCACAAGAAGCTGCATAGGTGCACAGACTAACAGAACTGCAGTGCAGGCAGGACACCAGGATGCTCTGCAGTACTTGGGAAAGCTGCTTCTCCCAGGACAAAACACAGGATGTCCAGTATCAAAGCACATTGCCTCGGGTGCTGAGAACAGAAAGATGTGTCATAGTAAAGCTATTGTAATGCCCTATGGACTTATCTCACACTGTGAAATATACTGTCCTAAATTTGCATCTGTCCAATTACTAAAAACACAGCAATCCAAATCTAAATTAAGAATACAGAAGAAAAAAGTGTTAATTTATTCACAAAAAAAAAAAAAAGGAAAAAAAATCACCTTCCTCCTTCAGATTAATCACTTCAAAGGCTCACATTTTCTCAGGAGACAATTCCCAGCTCAGCTCTGGCAACAGAGCAGGACTGGAATTTGGCCTAAGCTAGTCTGTTGAGAAAGACCAAAGCAAGTTGCTCTGGAGAGAACAGAATAGGGGACTGTCTCCTCTCTTTCTTGAGGAAAAGCAGTATTTTAGATTTTACTCGTTACTTGTCTTCTTGTCAGTTCAAAGGGTTCCCATATCTCTCCTGGACGGACTTTTTCTTTAGAGTGCTGAGAACACATGAAGAGGTCAGGGCTTCAGCTTTCCTTCCTCAGCTTTTAGAAGAGCAGCGTACAATCAAAATGATGACCTAAAATCTTTGCTGCGGACAATGGTCCAGCCTCTGCTCCAAGCACAGAACCCAAAGTTTATACAGCTGTTACAGCCCTGAATTCTTTTTAGACATGAGTTTGAATCCATCATCCAGGATGGACCTCCGATTGCGTCTTAACTTCTTTTGTCTCTCCAGATAGATGACCACTCCAAGGAGGAAGCAGGCAAGCACGAAAAGCACCATTCCTACAATGGCTAGAGTGATGACTGTGGCCTCTATCTGCCCTTGAGCCAACTTAGATCCAAAAAGTGTTATCTTCTGGGACTCATCCTCAAGTGGCAGCTCTGAGTGATAAACAAAAAGATAGTTCCAATGAGAGCCCAGAATACCACCACTGAAAGATTCCAAGAAATATAAAAAAGGAGTAAAAGACCCAATGCAATCAAAGCAAGTCAAAGGAGACCTGATCACCATTCATCTAACAGACCCTCATCCCTAAGGTCACATACATTTGAGAACGAAGGGTTCTTTCCCAAATCCACTCCATTCTAGGACCTCACTGTCTCTCGCAGCTGTTCAACCCAATCAGCTACCTATTGCTATCCCACTCACAAGAGAAATAACCTGAGTTGTGCGGGGAGTCAGTGGCTGGGTTAAGAACAGAAGAATGAAGAAAAGAACATTTGTCCAGAGCAGAGCTGCTCCAAGCTCCCCACCCTGCTCCATGCACATGGCTGTTGTCCTAACCACCATTATTCTGGTACACATGTTCAGTCATTTCAGTGGTGAGCCACTTGAGATTCTGAGCTCTCTTATGCTTCCACACAGAGGCAGCAGCCACCTTTTGAGAAAAGCGGCTATTTGCAGAGGTAACAACTGGTGATCAAGGATTTTCACCTCATGAGTATACACAGGCCGGTGCCTGAGCATGCTGAGCATGCTGTAAAGACAAATTATTTCATATTGTCACTACTGCTCTGACATTTCCTTTTCACACCCACTGAGTTGTGGAGAAAGATCTAAAAATCAGGGAAATAAGTAACCACCATAAACTATTCAGACTTTTCCACTAGAAAACTTTAAAAGGACTACTTATCTACTACTCTTCCCTGGTACTGCTCACCCAAATGTCTTCTCGCATCTGTTCTTTAAAATATCTGAAAGAGCCAGGGCGTGTGCTTAGGCTGTTTTCTTAGGGGAAGAACAGTCCAGGAAGCAGATGTGCTTGTTTGCATGCTGACTCAGTCCATTGAGCTAGTGATGATCAATGTGACAATTCCCTAAACCACAGTCACTGACAGTCCAAAAATGGAGGACAACTAATCTAAGGTGTCCCTCGGGGTGTGATGGAACGGGATAAGAAAAATCACTTCCTTTGCAACATCCTCTTCTAAAGTCCTTTGAATCTCTGCCAGTTTCTAAGATTCATTGAAGATGAATCCATATACAGCAAGTACAACAGGATGTGAGGCCACTAAACTTTTTCACCTAACATGGTCAAAAAAGCCTAACAAGTACAACATCCTTATTTGTTATCATCAGAACACAGATATTTGAGGACAGATTAACCTGGAACTTTCCCTCTTACCCACCAGTAGCCCAACCTCAGACTAAAACACTGGCCAGCCTGAGAGAAGAAGCTGTAAGTGATGTTTGTGCTCCTCCCTTCTTTTTGCATAGATTTAAACCTCTGTACTGATTAGAGATGCCCCTTTCTCTTCCACCTCACACACACACACACACACAGTATTTAGCAGTGCAACACACACCATACCTGCACTGTAGTTTACAGCTTCAAGCTCTGGCTCTGAAAGGAAACAAAAGAGGGTGAAAAAGTGTTGGGCTGAACAGGTAGAGGGTCACGAACATGGCATGCTTGGCAAGGATCAGGTCCACAAGCAGCATGATTTTCCAGAGCTTGCAGGTTTTGTTGTTTTGGGGTTTTTTGGGTTGGTTTTCTGGTTGGGTATGGTTTGGGGTTTGTTTGTTTGTTTTTTTTCCTGTCAACATTTCCCATCACACCAGGAGTGTTTTGTATTACCTGCTCCAAAAGCAGACCCACTCCCACCACACAACCCTTTACAGCCTTTGAGAGAAAATTTCTTGGTTTCAGCTGAGCTAGAGTTAACTTTATTCCTAGTAGCTGGTGCAATGCTGTGTTTTGGCTGATAACACACCAATGTTTTACACTGTTGCGCAGTAGCACTTAACCCTGATCATGGACTTCTCAGTCTCATGCTCTGCCAGTGAGATGGGGTACAAGAATCCAGGAGGGACCAGAGACAGGACCCCTGACCCAAACTAGCCAAAGGGGTATTGAGTACCACAGCACATCATGCCCACAATATCAGCTGGGGGGAGTTACTTGGAAAGGACCTATTGCAGCTGAGGTCAGGCTGGATATTGGTCAGCAACTGTATTGTGCATCATTTACATTTATTGGTTTGGGTTCCCCCCCCCCATACCCTTTTAGTTTTATATTACCTCCCCCTGCTATTTCCTTTATTCTAAGTATTATATATACTTGGAGTATTGTCCACAATTCTGGTGTCCTCAATATAAAAAGGACATGGAACTGCTGGAACAAGTCCAGAGGAGGCCATGAGGCTGATCAGGGGACTGGAGCACCTCCCGTATGAAGACGGGTTGAGAAAGTTGGGGCTGTTCAGCCTGGAGAAGAGAAGCTGCGTGGAGACCTCAGAGCAGCTTCCAGTATCTGAAGGGGGCTCATAGGGATGCTGGGGAGGGACTCTTCGTTAGGGACTGTAGTGACAGGACAAGGGGTAAAGGGTTAAAACTTAAACAGGGGAAGTTTAGATTGGATATAAGGAGGAAATTCTTTCCTGTTAGGGTGGTGAGGCACTGGAATAGGTTGCCCAGGGAGGCTGTAAATGCTCCATCCCTGGCAGTGTTCAAGACCAGGCTGGACGAAGCCTTGGGTGACATGGTTTAGTGTGAGGTGTCCCTGCCCATGGCAGGGGGCTGGAACTGGATGATCTTAAGGTCCCTTCCAACCCTAACTATTCTATGATTCTATACTGTACTTCAGTTACTAATCTGTTCTTATCTCAACCCACAGGTTTTGAATTCCTTTGATTCTCCCAACCCATCCTGTCCAGAGAGGAGGGAGGGCAGACAGCAAGTAGCTGCATGGTTCTGAGTTATCAGCTAGGCTTAAACCACAACAGAAAAGCACAAAGTCTCTGAGCATGTCATGGGCTAGCAGGGTTGCTCACTCACCCCCAGAAGGAATGGGGAGGGAATTGGAAGGGCAAAAGCAAGGAGGGAAAGAAAGGAAAAACAAACAAAATACCCCCAACTTGTGGGTTGCCTCTTGTCCACCCTACCTTTGGAGTAAAAAAACATGAGAAGACCTTGACCACTGCTGTGTGTAAGCACAGTTCAGCAATAGAGAAACCATGGGTGTGTTATCATCTCTGTTTTGGTAACAAATCTAAAACACAGCACCATCTGGGCTGCTATGAAGAAAACGAACTGTCACAGCCAAACCCAGTACAGAGCTACTCACCTTTAGGCACCTCCCAGGGTTTCCTGGTGAAATGAAAAGCATTAGGATGTGCATTTAGATTACAGGTAATATTCTCATTAAGAGCAATTACTGGCTGATGGCTGAACATTGCTTCTCAGACAGAAGCTAACATAAAACTTGTAAGAATAATGTAAGCATTGTAAACCCCAGAAACTCAGTTGTTGTTAATTCTAGCTGCAGGTATTACCATATTCAAAAGGAACATCTGAAATTGCTAGTACTTAAGTAATTACCTGTTACCATAAACTGGCTGTTTATGGCATGTAAGAGAATTGCAAGTGTGATACAAACAGAATTTAACAGCAGGAGTAGAAAGTGCTGTTAGATGTTTTACAATAAAAAAATCAAGGGTAGCTCCCTACCTGATCTAGGCAAGACTGTGAAGAGTATCTCCATCCCAGCATGAATGTGATCAGACACATGACAGTGGAGCAGCCATGTCCCAGGGTTCCCAACCAACATCTCCACCATTTCAAAGGTTCCAGGGAACAGATCTACAACATCTGCTCTGTAGCTTTTGCCATTCTGTCAAAGGGAAGGGAGGCTGTTATGTGCAGTGCTCTGTGCTTCTTTTGCGTTGCTGGAGAGCACTTCAATGCTACTACAGCTTTTAAAAGCTCAGAAAAAGAACTCCTGGCTGCAGCTGGTAAAGTAAACAACCTAATCCTAAAGGTCAGGTTATACATATCAGCACAATACACAGGCTCAGCAAGTCAGATTTGGATGTGTAAAATCACATCCCTTTCCTAGATGGGGGAAGTTTCTGCGAGGTCATTCAAGTTCAAGTCCAGAGTCACACACAAGTGACTATACCAATGGTCAGTTTCTGCTTTATCACGAGAGGATATTCTTACCTTGTATGTGAAGGTCTCGGCATGAAAATGGACTGTGTGGACATCAATCTCCTGACCCATTCCCAGCAAGTACCAGTTCACCAACTCTCCCTGGAACATTGTCAGCCCAGGCAAGTTTGCATAGAGCCTCCCATTGATTGCTGTGCAACAAACAACAAAGAAACAGTAGAAAAAGCTGTTATTGAAATGGTAATAATGTTGAACCATTTCAGAGGAAGAACATGCACTGCAAGTTAGGTGCTACAAAGCTCATACAGCAACCAGTGCATCAATACTGTCTTGCATATCACACAATCCCCCAGAAGTCTGGCAGCGATTTGCATACAAGGCCATGCTGTAGCTCAGCTAAAATCTCAAAAACTACCTCTAATCACAAGGGCATTCACTAGGAGTCAAGCTCTTGAGCTTTGGGTGGCTGACCACTTAGAGGTCACAGAATCAACCTGACCTTTCTGTAGATAGTAATGGGTGTCTACCAGGCATTACCATGCATTTTGTTGCTTTCCACAAATTTGTCATCCAGCAGGTTGATCTCCTTGTGATTTCCCTTACTGTAATGTTCCACATTCTCCTCCAAGTACCAGGACTGATTTTCATCAAAAACCAGGAACAGTAGAGCAAACTCCCTCTTTACATCCTTCCTGATCCCATCAGATTGCAGTGCCCCTCTCCGGCAGATCTTCAGGGGTCCAATCAGACCACTGTACATATCCTAATCACAGTGAAGGAGAAAAAAAAAAACTCATAACTCTGAGGCAAAGATCTTCTCACCTTCTCTCTTATACACACTTTTATTTGCCTTTCAGCAACAGTATTTTCTGTTCCCTGTACCACCGCACTGAAAACAAACAGTGCTACCGGGTGTAAGTACTCTCATTAGAACATCAGCTACCGAAGCAGAAAACCAGAGACTAAAAATGTTCTTTTAAATGCAAATCCAAAAGTCAAATACGAATGATATCAAAATATTCTGATTGCAAAAACTGCAACTTGAGATAAAAGGCCAGTAATCTCTGGGTTGAATGTTACAGTTTATTCAGAGATCCTCCTTGTGAAATCAGTGCTATAATTGATCCTAGCAATGCTCAAATCTTCCTGCTTTATCCATGGGGCCTAATTTTGGAGAATTTCTGCACTTACAGGTTAGCACTATGGCTCTCAAATAAAAGCCATGACTGACTAGGAGATGTTCTCATACCCTACAAATCACTGAAGGAAGGCTACCGTCAAGGAGACGGGGGACTTGTTTTATGAAGGTTCATGCTAGAGATAAACAAGGACCAATATCAGAACAAATTTGGAAGATTTTCTCTCCCAGGAGAATGCTGGACATGTCACAAGATTGTTGTTCTACCTCGTGGCTGGGCCAATCTCTAAATTATATCCATCTCCCATTGTGTAATACTAGAAGGGGTGAAAAACATGTCTAATCAGGCCTTTCTGGTTCTACTTTCTCCTTTACCTTTACTGGGTCCACCATGGAATAGTAGATCCAAGGAACACAAGCTGAATCACTTGGCCCCGGACCAGATCTCTCAGGAACTTCCCATCGGTATGTCACAATGTCACCTGAGTGAGAGAAGAACCATTAACACCAATGATACACCCATTCACCAGTTTGCTGAGCAGCATGCAGAACACCACAGAAAAAGTGCAATTTGAATTCTGATTTTGTTGGACACAATCTTCTTTCCCCAAAATACTGTGAAGCAGGATGAAGTTCTGCTCTCACAAGCAATGCAGAGGGGCCACAGGACTACAGACCGGTCAGCCTTACCTCCATCCCCGGAAAGGTGATGGAACAACTTATTCTTGACACCATCTCTAGACATATCAAGGATGAGGGGGTCATTAAGAGCAACCAACATGGCTTTACCAAGGGAAGTCATGTCTGACCAACCTTATAGCCTTCTATGAGCAAGTAACTAGGTGGATGGATGATGGTAGAGCGGTAGATGTGTTTTTTCTTGATTTCAGTAAGGCATTTCATACTGTCTCCCACAGCATCCTCATAGATAAGCTAAGGAAATGTGGGCTTGATGATCAGGTAGTGAGGTGGATCAAGAACTGGTTGGAAGGAAGAAGGCAGAGAGTTGTGGTCAATGGGGCAGAATCTAGCTGGAGGTCTGTGACTAGTGGAGTCCCTCAGGGGTCGGTGCTGGGACCAGTGCTGTTTAACATTTTCATCAACGACCTGGATGAGGGAACTGAGTGTACCCACAGCAAGTTCGCTGATGACACTAAACTGGGAGGAGTGGCTGACACACCAGAGGGCTATGTTGTCATTCAGTGAGACCTGGACAGGCTGGAGAGTTGGGAAGAGAGGAACTTGATGAAATTCAACAAGGGCAAGTCTAGAGTCTTGCATCTGGGGAAGAACAACCCTATGTACCAGTACAGGTTGGGGGCTGACCTGCTGGACAGTAGTGAAGGGGAAAGGGACCTGGGGGTCCTGGTGGATAGGAAGATGACCATGAGCCAACAATGCGCCCTTGTGGCCAAGAAGGCCAATGGCATCCTAGGGTGCTTTAGAAAGGGTGTGGTTAGTAGGTCAAAAGAGGCTCTCCTCCCCCTCTACTCTGCCTTGGTGAGACCGCATCTGGAATATTGTGTCCAGTTCTGGGCCCCTCAGTTCAAGAAGGGCAGGGAATTGCTTGAAAGAGTCCAGCGCAGAGCTACAAAGATGATTAAGGGAATGGAACATCTCTCTTATGAGGAGAGGCTGAGGGAGCTGGGACTCTTTAGCTTGGAGAAGAGGAGACTGAGGGGTGACCTCATCAATGTTTACAAATATGTAAAGGGTGAGTGTCAGGATGATGGAGCTAGGCTTTTTTCAGTGCTGTCCAGTGATAGGACAAGGGGCAATGGGTGTAAACTGGAGCATAGGAGGTTCCATGTGAACATCAGGAAAAATTTCTTTACTGTGAGAGTGACAGAGCACTGGAACGGGTTGCCCAGGGGGGTTGTGGAGTCTCCTACATTGGAGATATTCAAGGCCCGCCTGGACAAGTTCCTGTGTGATGTACTCTAGGTTACCCTGCTCTTGCAGGAGGGTTGGACTAGATGATCTTTTGAAGTCCCTTCCAACCCTTAGGATTCTGTGATTCTGTGATGCACACACTATCTGATGTCAGCACACAGATTTTTTATCTGCCAGCTTTGAGGATGGAGCTGATCAAAGAAATTCCATTTCTCTTCAGTACAGATAAAGCTTGAGATGACTTTTCATCTCTGAAGTATATTTATGATGCTCAAATTCATTTTTAAGATTACTATTTTGCATATTAACAGTACGTTTCAGAAAGACGAGGCCTCACTGAAAACTTGTTTGTTGCTTAGATAGCCTGCACAAGTTGAAGTAGACCAAAAATTACACCAATTGGCATCTGGACCGTGAAAAAAAAATGGTGATTTCAGTCAGCATCCTGGCAAGCAATTGTGCATTTTGCGTATTTCATATTACTGCGCACATCACAAAGTATAGGTCCCAAAGAAGGGCAGGCTTCCCCATCACAGGCACTTAGCCCAGAGCTACCAAGGACTGAGCTGTGAACTGTCATCACCCTTCTTCCTAGAGACACTCCACCCGGTGTGGGGGATAAGGCTGCACACAGAAAGGTTTGTGCTACAATCATCCTAGGTGTCAGAGCAGAATATGAATTCCCAGGGCTGCTATTTCCACACAAATGGTATCACTAAACATAGATGAACTCGAAAGACCACTCTTGTTCAATTCCAGTTCTCTACCATAAGAGAACAAGTACATCTAAGCCTGCCTAAGGAAACCAGCCTAGCCATAAGCTAAATTAGCTTTGTTAACTCATACAGGAATATGGCTGGAGACCAGTGACTTACCAGGGTTTGCCACTTGTGGCTGTCCCATCTCTCTTTCCAGAACCCCATGTGCATGAATGGAGTAGGGTCGTGTGGCATTGTTCTTGAACACAATGTTGAGAACATCTCCCACTTCTGCCCACAGAAAAGGCCCTTGAGAGAGGAAAAGTGTACTCTGAGACTAGCAAAAACTGTCAACATATCTCTTGAGGATATTCCCATATCTCAAGATGTATATCTATTTGTCAATATATTTATGACATTCCCCTCCCTCTTCTCTACCTCCCAAAAACAGAATTGGAGGCTGGTCTCAATTCAAGCCTTAAAAAACAACAGACTGAGTTTCACAATGACAGAAGTGAATGTTGTTATGCATTTTAACTGTACCCAGTACAACTAAGGCTTGATTTCTGAATACTGCTGTGCTAAATTTCACACCATGATCATCCCTTGGTGCTGGTTTAAAAAACATGTGGCAATATTCAATTTGGCCTGACAAGCGTCACAAATCAGAACTAAAACCTATTTTGAATGGTATGCACTGCCTTAGCCTTACTGCTCAAGCACCACTCAGTCCTAGGTTCATAACACATTGCTGTGATTCCATGGACCGATCAGTCATTGCAATGTACTCCTCCAGTTGTCAACATCTGCCCGCTTTGGCCCCAGAAACATTTCTCTCACAGCAATAGATTTTCACCTACATCTCTCAGGGTGCTCTCTAGAAGTCAGCAGTTATTTCTGTCCTACAGTCAGAAATGCAGGTGTGAAGAATGCTTTGCCTGAGACATGAAAATGTTAGAGGTATGCATGAGAATCCATGGTTTCCTACAAGCTGCGTTCAGGACCTTCTTTACTGCTATCTCTAAAGCTATTAGATATGGATAGGAGACAGTCTGAATTCCTCCTCATTTAGCAGACACCTAAATAAATAGGAGGCCTTCAGACTACAGCCTTTAGGCACCAAAACTCTAGAGTCCAAGTCCCACCACTGTGTGAGTGGAAAATATACCCTCTGCACATACCCTTACCTAGTATTCCCAGGTGCTCGTCACCATTTATCCTGGCCTTGGGAGTCTGGAAAGTTCCATCGGTGTACTCCCTGTAAACTGCCTTCTTGTACTTGGAGCCAAGTAGTCCATTCTCGTTGCTCAAAAATACATCGGCATAGCTGAGAAATGCAGAGTGAGTGCTGAGAGACCCAAAAGCTCAGGGGCAATCAACAGCTACCTTGTGGCATTGGGTTCACTAGTGAATGGGTTTCCTGAGACCTGCTTTGGCTGCAAAGATGGGCACAGTGATGCAGGGGCTGCAGCTCCAATCAGCAGCACCACCAACAGTGCCATATGCACCAGGCCACAGAATGGCCAATATACCTAACAAGGTTCACCACAGTCTACCCAGAGTATACCAAGAAACTTTGCCAAAGGGTTTCCCAGAAGACAGGCTCTACCTCTCTGCAGAATGGTTGTGTCGTTCCCTCTCCCAGCTCCGGTCAGGTGCATAGTCCCACACCACCTCCTCTGCCATGATGTAATAAATCCGCACAGCCCTGTACTGATGGGCAGGAGCAGGATCTCTTTTTCCACACTTGGAAACGGAGTAGCGTTCCCTCATTCCAGCCTGGTAGTGATTGCTCGTCTGGCAGTAGATCTCAAAGATCCCTGAGGGAGGCAGTATGAACACAGAGATCAGCTACTTTCAAAGATCCCAGGAAACAGCTGCTTCCCATGCAGAGCCTGTGACATGGTTGACATTGGTATGTGTTGTGTGTATGGGTGTTTGTTTAGGGAGCTTGGTTGCCACAGGCTGAGATTAAAAGGGGCTGTTAGAGAAACCAAGAAGGAATGGCACAACAAAGTCCTACACAAAAAAAACCTCAGAAGGCTTTCTTACGCAATAAGCAGCTTATTAGAAGGGAGGAAATCAGCAGAGTAATATAACCATGCTACCATTGCCAAGATGCTGTTGAAGTAAAAGATCTAGCCTGCAAATGCCAAAGGGGAGGAGACAACTGGCAGCTGAGGCCATTGCATTGCATAAGCAAGACAGTATTGTGTGCCCTCCCTGCAAACTGGGAGGACTGGAGTCTGTCAAACATGAATCTCCACAAGTCATGGAGAGGGGAGTTAAGTTCTAGCACTGTCTGCTCCTTTACTGTGAAAGGCATGCATGCATGTTTCTCTGGGTTACAGGCAGCAACATCCATCAGGGCTGTTACCACAAATATTAACTAGGAAGTGGCAGCCTAGAGAATCAGTGTGGGACAAGATCCTGTATCTCCAGAATCAGAGCAAATGCAGGAGCTGTGGCCTCATAAATGGGACCAACAGGATCTAAAGCACAGCTCACTCTGTAAGAGTTTATACTGTGCTGAAGAATCAGCCACAGGAGCAAACACCACAACAGGAGACTTTGCCTTCTGCTAAGTTAGATGTGCAGGCACTTACCATTGTTATCAGGTTGCATGAAAGCAGTAGCAAATGTGTGGGGGAACAGATTGGTTGAATCTCTCCGCATCCCATTCATCTGCAGAGTGTTTCCCTGAAACACAGCTCCATGAACATCTGCTTCACTGCCCAAGCCCAGAAGGTGCCAGGTCACATTGTCTCCTTCACACACATTTAGCCCAGGCAAGTTACCAAACATAATTCCATTGATGGCTGCAAAGGAGAATGCAATTGATTCTCTGCAGGTAAGAGACTCATTTTGTGCACATGCTTTGACAGGGCAGGCCTGGCAGTGGAAGCGTAGCTTTCTTGTAATTCACCCTGAACACACTCAGGACATACTTCAAGACAGCTGTGCTTCTTGTTCCATGTCCCACCTGCTGCCTCCAGCCTCACCTGATTTCAGGCCAATACAACACAGCCATTTCAGTTCCCCAGCTCAGTCTTTAGGTGAGCACCACCCCATGTTTTGCAGGTTCAACCCTGCTGTACACAGAACAGCATCAGGCCATACCATGCATCCTGTTTGACTCCTTGAAGTCATCATCCTCTTGCACCGAAGCCTCTTCCATCCTCAAATAGTACTTTATGTTTGCATTTAAATACCAGCTGAGGTTCTCGTCAAACACACTGAAGAGAAGGTAAAATTCTTTGTCGATCCCTTTCTATAATTACAATAAGGCCTGTTAATTTTTAAAACTCACCAACTATCTTTACAGTTAAGGATGTTTTTGCCTGGCTACCATGTTCCCCACTGAGGGCCAGGGCTGTCCCTTTACTCATGCCAAATGTCCCTCTTTTGTTTCACAAGAGATACCACTTGTGCTTTTCCCATGTTATTTCACACAAGTGACTAGCATCAATCCAAGGATAACAAATCACTGCCTCCTTTCCCCATCCCTATGTTTAAGTGTGGTTTTCACCATCTCTCCAGATCAGACCAGGGAATCAAGAGCCCAGCCCATGAGGCAGGTAGATGACTACATTCCATGCCTCCTTTCTCCTACCACAGGCCTGGATGGGGATTTTTTTTTTAATTTTTTTTATTACCCTAATCCCCTGAAAATGTTCAGTCTCCTAAGAGAAGAATTGTAAAGCATGATGCATTCCCCCACTAAAAGAATACCCCTAGTGTTGTCTAGATCGTCTCTTTGATATCTGTGGCCTCAGCTGTACCCGGGAAGACACTGCAGAGAAGGCTATGCAATTCTGAGTGCAGCACAGAGGTGCATGAGAAGTGGCCATGCACCTTTCCCAATTAAGCATTCATTAAAGGATTGACCAAGATCATGGAATTTCTGCTCCAGTTGATTTTTTCCCCATCCTACCTTCACAAACAAGTCTGTTTTCAACACCTGAAAATCTTTTATCATTATCACAGCTCCTTCACATAGTGGGATGTACATTTTCATGATTGCCTGCTCAGAAGAGTCACATTTTCAGCCTGTGCAACATGCTGATCTCTTCTGCACTCCCAATTTAGCCACATCATGCCACAACTAACAGTCAGCTCCTCCAGGGAGGCTCTTGTGGAAGCTGTTTTCAGACTTCAGACTTAGCAGCCACTCCCTGATCTACACCACAAGGAAAGCAGGATGGCAGTTTTCCTGCTGCCTGCTGTTTTCCACAATAAGGCTCTACTAATCCGTCTTGCACTTCCCAGGATATTAACTTATTGCCTTCCCTACATTTACTGATACGATCAGACTACCCAAGTAAAAATTCCAAGAGGAAGTACTGGTCACCCTCCAGATTTCACCTCTCCATTAAAAGCATAAAGTCTAACATAATTTCCAAAGGTTTTGGTTTTTTGTTTTTTTCTTGTAGTCAGCTGTGCTTGCAAATGAACTGATCTTGCAGAAGAAATGAAGCTCATCCAAACCTCAAAGCATTATACCACTCAAACAAAAAACCAGAAAGTGAAAGTCTTTGTAATGTTTTTGAGACTGCACTGATTATTCCACATGCCTCTGAAAGCAGCCTGCTATGCAAGTCTCAGGACAAAAGTTAGCTATAAAGTCGCAGCCAATGTACAGTTCAGCCAAGTTTATCTGTGAGTTTTTAAGCAGAGCCTAGAAACCATTTCCAGGGCAGCCCTGGGGAGCCTGGAAGACTAGACTTTCCCATGTGAAAATGTCTGGTGCATTGGGATGCACCAGCATTCCAATGTTAACCTGATTTGTTGCTTTGATTTTACTCTGCTGGATTCATGCTACTACACATCTATTCTCACTATGTTCCCTGATGTTTGGCTGTTGCTTCCTTTCTCTACAGGAAAGCAAAGAGCCTGGTAAGAGCACAGCATGAAAACTCCTTTTACCTGTTTGCTGTTCTCATCCAAAGTGCCTGGCTTGCAGATAATCAGAGGCCCTACTAAGCCCGAACTGGGGTCTTTGATGGGATTCACAGCCGAGCTGTACATCCAGGTCAGGCATGGAGGGTCACTGGCCGTGGGCCCAACATGCTTTGGCACAGTCCAGCGGTACGTAAAGTTGTGCAGTGGTGCAACAGAAACCCCATTCTCAAACAGACCTTTAAAACAGAGATTGGCATGGTTATTCCCAAAGTCCTTGTACAAGCTTAGTTCCATCTTCTCACCAGCTACATTCAAACTGGGTTTTACTTTGTTCATGTCACTTAAATAGCCAGCATCTCTGAAGCATGACATGGGTGTAGTTAAGGCACACAGTGACCTGCTCTCAGTACCATGTAAATTTCCCACCACACCATGGCAGAGGTAGGCATGGCAAGGGGAAATAAAGAAGCAGATCAAGCTGCATGTGGGGAGTTAAATATTGGAACCGTGTGGTTCTCTAAGCTGGGGTGCACTGGGCACACTCCTCTGCCCAAAAGGTCTCAAACAGCTAGAGATGATCTGAGCTTTGGTTTACAGTTTTCTTCTCAAAAAAAAAACACAATCTCTGGAAGTATACTCCCTCTGGCACCCTTCCTGGGCACCAGTTCAGTGGAAAGACTCCTTCTGCAAGGCTGCAGGCAGGCTCAGAGGACCACGGTGGCTTGTACCTAATTCCTGACCACATCCAGTCCTTCACAGCTGCAGAAACGCTCCAGCACAGAGGAGGTATGGGATGTGTAGCCCCACTACCAGCATTAACATTGAATGACTCAAGAAAAAAAGAACCACAAACCATCATGGTAACGCATCCCTTCCCATGCCTTCCCATAGGACACTCCATGAGGCTGGATGCTGAATGGCCAGGAGGCTTTGTTAACAAACGTCACCAGGATGGTGTCTCCAACTTCAGCTTTGATCACTGGACCTACACAAATTGTAGAGAGCATGTCAGCAACAGAGCAAGAAAGAGCAAACCAAAGCAGCCAGGACCACTTTTCACCCAGGCTGAGCGAGCAGAGGATGCAGAAGAGGCAGGCACTCCACATGTTGGCACTACTTGAGGCCCTTCAGCCCTGACAGCAGGAACAGGGACTGACAAGAACTGCTCTAAAGCACTTTGGGTCTGCAGGAGAACTCAGAGAGGCTTCAGACATCCGTAGAATAAGTAACAAAATGGCCAAACGTGCCAAAACACCCTTGGGAAAGGCCCATGTCTCTCAGTCACCTACAAAAGGCTTACCCAGCCTTCTAAGACATGTGCCCTGGGCAGGCAGCTAAAGAGGGGTGTGAAATGCTCTAATGCCACCCCTACCTGTGAGCCACTGCCCCTGCCAGCTAGAAAAGAACTGTGAGTCTTAATACAACAATCTTATCCTTCGGGCCTTACTACTAACCTCTGAATACTGCCCCAGTAGAAAAGCGATTCTGTCTATTTTACCATTTCACATCCTCTGCCTGTCCCACTCACTCTTAGGTGTGCCTGCTGTAAAATACCTCCTCTGCACCTCTCACTGCACCATGAAATGAGAGCAGCTACAGCCAACTGGTACCCCTGATATCACCATCAATCTCACTGACACTGAAAGCAGATTTGTTTTGCTGGACGATTCCTACCAAGTATCCCAAGGTGTTTCTCTTCTTCTGACTGCTGCTTTTCCTCACGGAAGCTCTCATCAGTATATTCCACATACTTTGCCTTCCAGTAGACTCCTCCAATTCTGTAAGGGCCACGCTTGAAAAACTGCTCAGCAGGGCTAATTTAAAAAAGAAAACATCAAGCAATTTCTATGCATCAGTCCTGTTCTCCTGCTCCCTCTTCCCCACACTCCTCTGGCAATGTCAGCAGCACCTCCAAATCCCCTCTTCCCCACACTCCTCTGGCAATGTCAGCAGCACCTCCAAATCAAGAAGCTTTTCAGACAAGGACTGCATCACCACTTTGGAACAAGCACAGCTTTTCTGTGAAGCTTTTTAATCCTACAGACTCATCTACCTACATGTTCAGGGAACACCTCTAGCCTGCAGCTGGGTACAATGGCACAGATCTGAACAGCATCTCAACACGAGATACGCAAGACAGGGCGGTGAACAAAACCGCAGTGCGGAAAACAGAAAGGCTGTAAATGACAAATCCTCCACCATCACCCTCTCCAAACACAGATATAACATGCCTTGCAGGAGACTCAGCTTAGCTGCAAGGCCAGCTCACAGGTATAAGGAGCTTTTCCTTCTAAATTCTGCAAAAGAGTTGCTATTTGGCTTTTGGTAAATCATTAATCACTCTGCATTTATACTTCAGATATATATATCTGAAAGAGGCATATCCTCTTCAACAGTGTCCTAAGGAAGAGAGGGGGAGGAATGTCTTTGTTTCAGTTAGACAAAGCCTGAATGGGAAATCACCAACTGATATCACAACTATGTGACATGTGGGAAGGATGTTGGAGAGGTCACTACATTTGATTTCTCAGAAATTGCTTGCTGCAGAAAGGCTACACTGAAGCGTATCTGCAGGCTAGCTCTGCCACCCTGTGTCTGATGCAAGATGTGCTTTCTTAGTAGTTCGGCACACTTCTACTTGAAATCACCCAAAGTGCCTAGTACTGCTCTCAGTACAGTCTAGCTACAGCAGCCTTCATTTCCAGATGGGGTGATCTGCGTTCCCAGGAATTCCATATGAATTGCAGATAGGTTTTTTGGCAAGAAGGAAATTCCACATTTTCCTTAGCAGCCTCCCCATCACAGATCAGAAACCCTCAAACACTGTCCCAGCCCATTAGCCTCTTGCTTACCTGCCTTCCTCACTCAGCCGTTTTCCACTGCTTTGGTCGAGTCCTGAAGGGCCATAGTCCCACTGCACCTCCTTTGCAGCTATGTAGTATTTCCGAACTTTCCCCTCCAGGATGGACGCTGGAGATTGCCGAGAACAGGGCCGGACTTCATACAGTGCTCCCATCCCAGCTGTTCAAGACATGGTGGAGGAGGACATAACACGCTTTACCCCTCTTAACCAGTCTGACCAGCAATGAACAATCCCACCTTCCTACCATGAACTGGCCATTTTCCTTTATTGTCCCAGAAGGTGATTAGATGGTTCTCACAGCAAGGAGTTTGCGTTAGTGAGCAGAACTTCTTAACTGAATTCTATGGAAGTACAGGCAAAGAGCAAACAGAGCCTTCTGCTGACCTCATGTACCATGGTGTACCATGCAAGTGCCTTTCACAGGGACTACAGATTGAGGCACTGCCTCATCTTTGCTTTCTGCTGTACCAAATATTGTCTTCATCACTGATCAGCATAGAACATCATACAGTGATACAAGCCATGCCCAGGAAGTCTGGCCCACACTTCAATAACCAAGTCACCCCAACTTATACAAGGCAAGGAATCACCCAATTCATCTGGGTCATTTTCTGTGGGAATGCAGCACAAACCACTGTCCCCTACCACATTGTGCATCACAGGGCTACACCGGGACATAAAACAGAGGCTGCAGAGTGCAGGACATATTACAACCTCTGCCTTACCTTCTATGTGATCATTGACCTGACAGCTGAGTAGCCATCTCCCAGGGTTACTGGGGATCATGTCTGCTGTAACAAAAGTGGCTGGGAAGAGGCTGGCCACATCTGTCCTATGGCCTCGAATATTGAGCATTTCTCCATGGAAGTAGGCTGTATGAACATCAATTTCATTGCCCATCCCAAAGAGATGCCATGAAATATAATCTCCAGCACACATCGTCAGCTCAGGGAGGTTTCCAAACACATAACCATTAATAGCTGCAAAACCAAGCAAGCAAAAATCAGATTAGAAAAGGGTCCTTCAGAGTTTCTGCCAGCAAATCACAGTATAGATGTGTTTGCAGGATGGACCTAACAAGAACTCACCCCCCCCCCCTCTTGTTCTGGAGAGCACAGCCCTACAACTCATTCATAAAATTAAGTTTATTCAGAAATCTCCAAATTACTAACAAAGGCTCCCTCATGCCAAAGACTAAAGGAAAATAACATTTTTTCTGGAGTTGGAGTATCCCTGTGACATTGTTCACTTAGCACAATCTCTCAGAGCTTGTTGTCTCCCTTTTCCCTGGCATACAACAGCCAAAAGTGCATTTCAAGATATCAGAGCACCAATACCCCTGGAGCATCTGGGCAGAGTCTGTGGCTTCATGAAGGTGACACTGACCATGCATTTTGTTGCTTTCTTGAAATTCCTCATCATCTTTGTCTACCAAGGCTGGATCTGTGCAGAACAATGCTATGTTTTCATCCAGATACCAGCTTAGGTTCTCATCCACCACACTGAACATCAGAAAGAAATCAATGTCTACATCCTGACGTCTTTGAGAACTGCCAGTCAGCATTCCTAGAGTGAAAGAAAGGATGTATGAATATTCTTCCATGCAAGAAAAGCAGTCATCAGCACATGGATTAAAACATCAGTAGAAGAGTAACTCTTATCACACAAATTAGACAGGTGCTTTCCCCAGCATCCTAGCACAGCTCATAGCAGAGTTCCAACAAACTCACTCTTATCTTGTATATCCCTGTTACTACACTTCTCACTCCCAAGCACCTCTGCCACTGCATGACTGAACCACACCACCTTCACCTTTCCTGCTGAAATCAAACAGTCCCCAGTTTTTAACACATAAACTGAGTCATGGACAGGATTCCTGCTTTTAATATGGATTCAAACAGCTCCCAGATAAAGAGGCCTACAAATTCACCTGCACAGCCACTAAGGGAGCAGGACAACATAATGACTAGAACAAAGTCAGAACACAGGCTCTGTCTTCTCCACTCATACTGCATTTTCCTCTGAAGCTGCAGCTGCCCACTAAAGTATCTTCTCATCCCACTCTTGTTCAAATCACAACAAAAATCCTATAAGGATATAGAATGAAGCTGCAACCCTCAGCTGCTTTCTCTTGGAGTTTTTACCTTTTTTGCATGTAAGTAATGGCCCAATTAATCCAGATGCAATGTCCTTTGGTGCATCAATATGGGAGTGGTAGATCCATGTCAAGCAGTTTGGGTCATCAACAGTTGGGCTGTGATCTTCAGGGACAGTCCAAGTATAGGTGTAATTCCCTCCTGGGAAAACAGCATCATCCTTCTTCTGATCCTGGGGGGACATATCGGGATACAGGGATCCTAGAACAATTGAGCAACCACAACATCCATTCAAGAAGAGCAGAGGTGCCCACACATAGAATCATAGAATAGACAGGGTTGGAAAGGACCTTAAGATTATCTAGTTCCAAGCCCCCTGCTGAGCTGCTCTCAATTCAATACAGTTGCACATAGATACTTGGTTAGCAGATTTCAAAGTGACACTCACCATACCAAGGCTGATACAGTATTTAATCATGATTCCCTAAGACAGACTGAGACACAGAGCCACTGTAAGGTAACTTTCCCAGAAAACAGGACAGCACAGAGTCAGAAAGATGATTCCCATTTCATCTCTTGCTACTTTGCCTTCAACCTTCCAACATGCCCCAGTCAACCTCTCTACAATTTTTAGCGTTGCTTCAAATAGCTGTTCTTTAGTCTCATACTTCACCAGTCTTGTGAGTCACCTGAAGCTCACACTCATGATTCTTATACTACAGCACTTCAAATAATGAATACAGCTCTTTTCCTTCTTCACCACTCTCCCACTAGCAAGTTTTGGAAGTTCTAAAAAATAAAGAAAGCCACACTGTGTACTGTAATGCCCAGGTCAGTAAATTACTCCTAGACCCAAGAACCTGCTAACGCAGCATCAGGTAACCTCACTAAACTATTGCTTTCCTGCAACATAGCTTTGGGCTAACCAACTCTGTGGCTTTACAGACATCTTTCCACAATGCACACTTCTAAGCTGCCAGTGAGAAAAATCTGCCTCCTTTATGGCAGTGCCCCATTTACCTTCAGAGTCCTTTTCGTAGAAAACTCCGTGAGGATGGATTGTATATGGTCGACTAGCAAAGTTTCTTAGGTGTACTTTAATGGTATCGCCCACTTCTGCTCGGATGATGGGCCCAAGGAACCCCAGCCAGTCAGGTTTAGGAATCTCAGTGGTATATGTGGCGTCTGTGTGCTGCTTATAGACAGCTTTCTTGTACGTGCTTCCCACCCTGTCTTTTCCAGGCTGGAGGAATTTTGAGGCCTTGCTGTTAAATTCAGAGAGGGGAAAGGCACCATGAGTCATGCATTATATAAAACAGCTGGTTGATAACACAGTGGAGTGACAATGACACACAGCCTTCCCAGATAAGCCTGAAAGCTTTGGTATTACAGAGGACTGCTTGCGCTTTCATAGCATTTCCAACTAAATCACTTGAGGGTGGGGGAGATCTCCTGAGCTCTCTGACCAAAATGCAGTCTAAAAGATGATTTTCTACTTAACAGATTCCAAATTATTTCTTTTAGCAGACAGAATGGCAGACAAGTCAGGCAGATATGTACCCGAGATGTAAGCAGCTTCCCGAGTTAAAACCTCATAGAGGTACTAAAGTTCAACTCATGAGTACATTTGCACTTTATGGCTATCTTAGTAGATAAGAGATGAATCATGATCCAGGCATTAGCGGGAGAGCTAAATGAGAGCCAAGGTTACTCCCCTCATTTCCCATGCAGTATCAATCACCCTGCCATAATGTAAGTAACCCTGAAATACAGGCAAACTAATGTTTATCTCTCAAAGATGAATAGTTGAGACTAAAACATGAAGCATCGACTCTGTAACTGAAAATTGTGAAGGGCTGGGCTCTGGTTGTACAACATACAACTCATCCCTTTGTAGTCACGCTTGCAGCCACTACTAGCAGAGTTTAAGATAAATCATACTTTTAGAGTCCATTTCTTCCCAAGAAAATAAAACAACTTTTCAAGCATTCATATTAATATCATTCATACCAGTATCACTTTGTTTTCTGCAATCATTGCATAAATAAGTCTAATTGTTTGCAATGACAGAACAGTTTTTAAATTGCCAAGTTTAATGTCCTTGAATTTCATTCTCTTCTCTTCATGTACTATGAAAGAAAGCAAACAAAAACCACTACATTCATTATCACTGCAGGAGTCAGCGATAACATCTTTATTAATTGTGAATTAACCCTGTGAACTATTTTAAGTCCATTCAGTGTCTCCAGAAAGACTTCCACACTAAACTAACAGACCTTGACATTTTTCTGTGAACTCCTCCCATTCCTGCTGTGCTGTTTTGTTTATGAAAGATAAGTATAAACTTCAGTGTTATTTATTATGGGAGGTGGGGGTAAATGACAGACCAGGTCAAGAAATACAGGTTATTTACCACAGAAAATGGGATGGAGGGAAGGCACAAATGCCTTTAAAAAGATGTGGAAAGCTATGGAAAAAAAAAACAAAACAAAAAGAAAACAAAGAAAAAAGCTTAATGTTTTGAAAACAGAAACTAAAGCCTGTTTCTGTAGTGACTCAAAGTAATTACTGCAGTTTCCAGATTTACTTCAACAAAACCAAAAGCCTTTTTCAAACAACCTCTAAAATTACAGGCAGGAAGGTCCATTAAGTCTAATGCTTGAAATTCCATTCAAACCAAAACAAACCAGTTCTGTGAAATCATTTACATGAAGGCGAAAAGTCACAATGCCTCAGGATATACAAGCTGATCACCAGCTGGAATTAAGAAAAATGAAACCCCAGGGCAGAGTACTGCACAATGGGTTCTATTATAGAGTACTTGCACTCCCCGCTGGTGTACAGGCAGTGGATGTTCCATTAAACTGATCATTCATTTTCCCCACTAATACAGTTTCTATGTTCCTATGTGTCCCAACACTATGATAAAATAAGTTAACCATTAAGCTCATAAAAATCAGACATCAGATAGTTTTTTTGCTTGCTTAGATGCCTCAGAATACTTCCCTGAAATTACTTACAGAATTACTATTTCAAGTCAGTACCAGACTAAATTCTTATAGAAGCAAACATACGGGTTATGTGTGATGCTTTGGTTAGCAAGTACATTCTTCCCTGTTGGAGCATAGTTCCAGTCCACCTCGTGGATCCCCAGGTAATAGACTCTGGTGACACCTCCAGCAAATGCAGGTGACAGCATGTGGATGTAAAGCAGCAACAACCAAAACAATCCCATCATAGCCTGAAGTGAAGGTGCTTTTAGAGGTTACACCTATTTGGGAGAAAAGAAAAGCAAAGGTAGTGGAATATGATGACATGGTTTGAAGGTACCAGACACTTTGCAAGGCAAAAATCCTGCCGGGATCATTATTCAACGTGGATTGAGAATATGCCATGCTGATCAGTCCCCAGTACAAAACATTGCTTCTCATAACAGATTAACCTTTGTGCATAGTTTGCTTCCAAATGCTTTGTTCCACAGTGTTAACAGAATACTAATTCAGTAAGCATTCACACAGCAGATGAGGTGAACAGATTCACAGCGAGAGCTATGTTAGCACCTGTAAATGCCATATACTGTGTAACTGTCATTTTAGGGCAGCAGTGTCCTGAGCAGAAAGTGCCATACACAGGGGAATTTCAAGTGACTGGTTTTTCACTGCCTCTGATACCCCAAGTCATCTTACAGGACCACATACAAAAGGAAATAATCCCGAACAAGTATCTTTGTATTTTAAGCTGCTGCCAATATCTATTCCACTAAGCCACTTGAGAACATACCAGTTAGTCACTATGAAGTAATTTTAAATTGTAACTTCTTTAAAGACTGCTCTTAAAGAGTGATTCTCTGTAATCCAGGGAGTGCATCCTCACGGTGGGCTGCTCAAGGCTCTTTGCTTAGCCTAGTTCCATTAAACATTTTCCCCATGATTTAGATCACAAAGTAAGGACCTTACTCATAAAACTTCTAATCAACACCAAGTTTAGTGTGAATAAGCACCAGGAATACTCTGAAGAGAGATCCAGGGCAAGCTGCAGAAAGTATCTGAAATAGTCAAAATATATCTCCGTGAATGCAAGAGTAAAGAACTACATGCATGAAGGAGAAGCTGATGCAACATGGAGCAGCAGAATTACACCAAAATATAAGAAAATAGCTTAGGGTTAAGATGGATGACAAACTAAACCCACAAGAAATCTCATCCAGTGATATAATTAACAAAGCTGGATGTAACTGATAATGAAACTTCAATCTAAAACAGACATCCAGCTCTTGAGACACAACAGCAACTTGGAAAACATTCAGCAGAGAGAAGCAGAAAGCAAAAGAACTGGAAAAATGTGACCTTGCAAGAAAGCTTAAAGGAATCAGTTTTCCTTAATTTCAAGAAGATGGGGATGGGGACATAACACCATATCAAACAGATTTTTTCTTAAGAGCTTATCAATATTTATTCTCCCCCATCTTTGGTAATAAACCTCATTTTTTTATGTTGCTGTTTGCAGCAAAACTGGATATTCTGTAAACTTTCAGCTAGCATTACATCACACTAGAACAGCTTTCCCAGAGAAGCTGTGAAATTTCTTCCCACATCCAATACACAGGATTCAACCCCAGTACATGACAAAGTAGATACCTTCCAAACCTTTATTTCCGAGTTCCAAACATGCTGTAATACCCCCAAGAAACTAATGATGATCAAGTAAAACTAATTCCAAACAGTTATTAAATTGATAATTTGAAAGAAAGCAACTCTCAATTTGGAAAAAGAAACCTCCGTTCCCAGAAGGGGGATGTAGGGATCTCTCTAAATCCAAGATGATTTTAATCCATCTTTCTGCCCAAGCAGTTGCACCAGCAAGCCCTTCAGGTCCTGGTCACACACCCGAAGGAACTCAGGCATGGAACAGCCCTTTCCCCACAGCCCAAGCAGAGCAGGGATGATGGCACTAACCTCAGCAATCTCAGTCCCGGCTGCTGGTGCTCCAGAAACCACTCTTGCCCACGGGGAGGTGAGGTACCTGCACTGACCAACTCACTGCACCAGTAAAGAGGTTTCAAAGCAAGGCATTCAGAAAGCTTCACCCATGCTGTCTCACTATACTAGCAAAGGGCAGTGGTGACAGCAACAAGGAAAGAGAGCTGGCAGCACCAGCCTGAAGCCTCCACACCCTGCTGGGAAGGGCCAGGGGATGACTCTGACGAAGAAGTAGCCTTCTTGTCACTGAAGGCCAAAGTACACAGGAGCAGTTTTCCAGAGAAAGCATACCCAGTGCATGGGGTGACCATCCTCAAGGGAGCCGCTGAGCCCAGGGCGTCAGTGTAGGCTAACCTTTATGTCCTCTTACGTTAGTGATATCTGCAAGCAACATCAAATCCTAGGAAAGGGCAAAGCTGAGATTGTAAACCAAGTGTAAACAGCAGCTCTTAGAGCTGGTTGGAAAAGCTGCCTGCTGAGACAAATCCCCCTGTATCAGCCCAGTTTCCTGCATGTTGGAGTCCCTATTAGAACATCAAAGCTGCACACAGCAGCATCAGGATACATAACAGAAAACATACTTGACCATAAGTCACAGGAATCTAAATGACTTGTGAATGCGCTCTGGCACTGAAAAAAGCGAAGTATGAGGTCTCCAGGGCATCTTTATTGAGGCTTTACAAGTAGTCTGTGGGGACCCCAGGCTTTTTGTTTGATCAGGACACTGCACATGTACCTCTAAGGCAATTTTAGGAAACAGCAAAGCACATCACTGAATCTTCACTCAGTGAAGGCTCAGCAGGCTACAGTGATTCTGTTCTCACACTCTCTCTACAGCAACTAATCACCATTTAGTCACTCTACTGGTACAACATAAAGGAAACCAACAATCTTATTTTCTTTCTAAAAAAAACCAAAACACATTAGTTTTTCTTTGAAATACATGCCTTAAGGAAAAAGGAAAAACCCAAACCCAACTTTATATCACATTCATCCCTGAACCTTTATACTTTACAACAGAACCCTTGCTCCCAGGACTTCCCCTCGCCAGTTCTCCAATAGCACAGACATTACAAATTAACAGAAGATTCGACTTCAGTTTATGTAGCAGCCAACCAGCTTCCAGTGACCAAGGCAGAGAGCCTGAACGCTCGCTTCTTCCCTGACACGAGAGAAGGCGGGAAGGAGCTTGTCCCTTACGTGCAGCGCGGGCGGACACGGGATCTGCTGGCGGCTACAGCCGGAGGCAGCCCCGGCGGCGGGACCTCGCGGAGTGAGGCCGCACCGAGCCACAGCGTACAAAGTCCGTACCGTCAGCAGGCGCTGCCTCGCCTCCGCCCGGGCCCCGCCCGTCCGCCGCACGGACCGAGCCACCCCACGACGCACCTCCGGGCTGCGCCCCGTCGCACCTGCAGCTGGCCCCGCCGCGCTCCACCGGCGCACACGGAGCCCGGACTGCAGGATCGCACCGGACCCCCGCCCCACCACAGCGCGCCCCTGCCCGTCCCACCCAGCACCGCTGTCCCGCAGCGTGCCCCGGCCGGGTGCGGGGCTCAGCCCCCCGGGAGCGCGGGGCAGGCCGGCTGCACGTACCTGCCAGGCGGGAGAGGGCGGCCCGGGGAGCGGCCCCACCAGCGAGCGCTCCCCAGAGGCGCTTCGGGCGAGGCGGGGCCCTTTAAAAGGCGCCCGCGGAGTCACGTGGCCGCGCCGCGCTCCCCCGGGAGCAAAACAAGAGTCACGCTCTCGGGCGCCGGGCGGTGCCGAGGGAGGGGGCGGAGCTCGCAGGAGCTCACCAATGAACGAGCTCCCTGGGCCGCGGGCAACGCCCCTCATGGCGTCACGGCTGCCGTCGGCCGCTCCGCCCTCCCCCGGCCCGCTGCACGAGTGCGCGGCCCGGCCTGAGAATGCGGGAAGGGCTGGCGCTGCCCGGCGGCCCCGGCGCTGCCCCGGGGCCCGGCTTCGCTCCGGTGCCCGGTTTCCTGGCCAAGCTCTGGGCGCTGGTAGAGGACCCGCAAAGCGACGACGTCATCGGTTGGAGCAGGGTGAGAGCGGCCCGCGGGGCCCTGGCCCGGCCGGGCACCGCCAGCGCCATCCGCGAGGCGGAGAGGAGAGGGGCGCGGAGGGGCTGGGGCGGCACGAAGCGGGTGGCAGGGCCAGGGCCAGGGCCAGGACCGTGGAGGGAGTCCCGGAGGGGTTGGGGTGGAAGCGCTGGGGCGGTGCTGCGGGGCTCTGCGGGCGGGGCGGAGGTGGCGGCGGCGGCGGCTCAGCCGCGGGGAGTGGGACCGGCCAGGAGGCGGGGCCGGGAGGGGCATGAGCGGTGGCTGGGGAGGGCACCAGGCCTCTGGGAAGCTGGAGGGTCGGGAGTCCTTCGGCGGGCCGCGGGCAGCAGCGGGGCGTGACGGCGTGGGCTGGCGCTTCAGCGGGGGGGGGAAGGCCCGTTGTGACGGACAGAACCGGCGGGTGCGAAGGTTGCGGGGCCGGACGCGACCCCGCGGCGGGGGCTGGGCTCTGCCTGTGCAGACGCCCCGGGGAGAGCGGGTCCCGGTGGCAGCATCGCAAATGCCCCCCCCCCCCCCAGAGCAGAGCGGTGACGTGCCGTGGAAAACGCACTTTAAGAAGTAATTAACTTGTAATTTTCCCTTCCTGCCATAGGAAGGTTGGGCCGCCTTGGCCAGAGCGCCTCCGGGCGCTGTATGGCTGAGGTCTGGCACGGGCATGGCGTTATTTCTGTCTCCTGTCACTTTTACATCCCTTGGAATTTCTCCACTTGTTTTTCCCCAGAGATTCAGCCATTGCAAAGGCAAAGAAGAAAATAGCCATTTTTGCTCTTTTTGTGACCAACATAAAACTGCCACAAAAGACCTGCCGGGTTTCGGGAAGTTTGAGTTTGAGAATAGGCAAAATCCGAAGCTGCTTGTGTCGTAGTTACACTTCCTCACCGCTGGGCTGTGTGGTCTGAACTTTCTGTAGCTCAGCAACGCTCCTTGGTTATTTTTGAGTGGTGACATAGTCCTTACAATGGAAGAATCTTGTCAGGGTCTGGGCAAACTGACCGAGGAGATAAAAGCCCTCTAGTGGCATAACTTCCATTGTGCTGGAGCAATGGTTGTGTTTCCTGTGGGCAGAGACTGACAGATACACGGGGGTTTCAGAAGAATTTTTCTATGGCCTAAGACAAAACTTCAGGAGCTTTAGAACTTCAGGTTTTGAAAAATGTCCCATTAAGCAGAAATATTTTGTGTAACTGTCTTTTTGGATCCAAACTTTTTAGTACAGCCCCAGGTACTCAGAAGTGCTCACACAGACTGTTTTGCCCTGCCCTGCCATCCCTGTCTTGACACCTTAGAAAAATTGTGCCTGTTCTCTGTTACTTCTGTTTATTTCCTAGAATGGTGAGAATTTCTGCATTCTGGATGAGCAGAGGTTTGCCAAGGAGCTACTCCCCAAGTACTTCAAACACAACAATATCTCCAGTTTTATACGACAACTTAACATGTGTAAGCATCAACTGTTCTTAGTTTCCTTTCTGCTAAGTTCATTGCTACGTGGTATTGATTTGAAATTCTTTAAACAAAACAACCGACTTGGCAGGTCCCTGAAAACCTGAATTCTGGTCTTAAGTTTGCTTTGCAAAAGAAAAGAACAGTAGAGCCTGGCTTAGTTTTTGCTTTCTGTGTTTTGAGCAGTGGCTGTAAAAAAACCTGTTTAATGTGGTGGTACCTAAAGCTTGGATAGAGTTTTCTGGGCTCCAGTGGCCGTGTTAATGGTACCTAGAGGAACAGAGACCATATCTACACCCGTGTATATAGCATATAAAAAAAAAAAGATAATTGCCTAGATCATGCTGTTGCCTGCATTGCTGTGTTGAAACAATATTAGTGACGCTGATGGATCAAGCTGGACTGAGTTTCTCATTATGTTTTCCGTGCTCTACATCTGAACATCATGTAGCATCCCATTACACATGTACAACTTGTACAGGCAAAGAGCTGGAGGGAGGAGGTGATTCAAAGAAGCAGTACAGTGTACAGGGTTGCCACGCAGCAGAAATAATGGTTTTGCAGCAAATAGCTTATGGGCTGAGTGAAGGTACAAACTGCATAGAAGATGGCCATCTTGCTTAGATATTTCATGTGGAATAAGGGGCAGGAACTCTCTGTCCTTGCCCAGTAGGTTTGCATGGTCTCTCTAACTGATGCCTGTTTAGATTTTGGCTGACGTGAGAAAGCTTACCTTTCTTTTGACACAAGGTGGATGTTGCTGTTCAGGTGTTAAGTCTTCATCATTTAGGTGTCAAAGGATAATGCGAACAAGCAGTTGTCAGTTGCCTTGCAGCAAGGGCAAATGCTGAAATGCAAATATTTCTGTGAATACATGCAGTGTGATGGCAGCCTCCTTTTCCTGCTGGACCTATTCTAGCTTCAAGTGAAGTTTTCTTATGGTAGTGCTCTTGGGGCACAGTGAAATAGAAGTACATTCACTATGTTAAAAGCTTGAATGAGAAGAGGTAGAAATTGGTCTGTAAACTGTATTTTGTGTCTGCCCTGTGGTACTCGAAGCAGGGTTGCAGTGACGGGGATATAGCTGACAATGTCTTATTTCATGTAGGCAGTCTGGTGTGGAGAAAGTACTCTGTGTGCATGTGTTGCATAGGCTGAGAACTGATTTTTCCTCCTTACTTTATTCTATAGACCCTGGTAGTACATGACAGCATTTGTTTTGATTTGTAGTTGTTTGGGATTATAGGCATGAAAAGGAAGGTGCGCTGTTCCACTGCTCCCACTGGGGCAAGATTTTATTCAAGATGTCTTTATAACTCTGATTTGTAACTCACTTCTGTGGTTACTTGAACATCCCTGTCTTGCTGCAGACACTAGCTGGCCTCTGCTATGCATGCTGTTTGTACGACCTGTGAGGTCATTTGATGATATTGTGGACATGTTCTCTAGCTGTGAAGACTGGAGCAGTCAAATCAATGAGCACCAAGGAAAAGCTATTTTGGCTGGTTTCCATAGTTTCTGCTCCCACTGACTGTAGTGCTTCAGGTGTTTCAGTAGCCTTGGGTTTTTTTTAGCTGTATGCTGTTACAGTCAGCTTTGCACTGAAAGAAATGACTTTGATATATATCCACAGATGGTTTCAGGAAGGTGATTGCCCTGGAGAATGGTATGATTACAGCAGAGAAAAGCTCAGTCATTGAGTTCCAGCACCCTTTCTTCAAGCAAGGGAAGGCACATTTACTGGAAAACATCAAGCGCAAGGTACAATCTAAGCATGTATTTACTTCACTTTGCTATGAAAAGTAGCTGTTAAAGAGCATGTCTGGGGGCTTCAAATACTTCACAGCCAACAGATTCCGTGGGAACCAAGGTTGTGCATCATGATGCAAGACTTTGTAACTCCATCCTGAATGCCAGGCTTGGCTTGGCCTCCTTATGCCAGCATTTAGACAAAACACACCCTGCTGTTTGGCAGCGCTCTGGAGTAGTGCCACATCTTCATGGCTGTCACGCTAGAACCCCTTTTTCACGGCAAATTCGTATACCCACTTGCAGCTTAGCATGGTCTTCAATTCTGTCGTCATAGAGCTGAAAAGAGTCACAAAGTGAAAGAAGCAAAAGAAAATACAACCCTATTTGGGGCTTCTTGTTGAAAATTAGCAAGGGCATCAGTAATCAGTTCATTTGGGTGACTTTGCATGAATCGCATTATTTCTCCAAAACTACGTTGCCACTAAGCTGCCCCTTTGTTAGTACTTTCCAGTTTTATCTTGCACATTCAGGCCTTGTCTGACCTGTTCCAGCACAGATATTTATCCTCTGTTGGCACTTTAGAGCGCATAATATCCTCCCAGCCAGAGAAAGAGAGTATCATGATACATCACATTGACATTTGAACTGCAGAATCTTTTCTTTAGAATGTCGTAATATGGTAGCTACATTGCCCAAGTTAATAAAAGCAGAGGATAGGCTTGAGAGTCACAATTGTGTTTTGATTGATTCTCCACTGTGCTGTCTCTGCTCAAAATCACAATGGATTAAATATAGTTGTACAGTTGCTTCTCTGACTCAGGCCTGTGCTTTCCCCAGATGCTGTAATCGCTAACTTGTCTTGGCTTGCACACATCTCTTGCTGGGATGTTGGGGCTGTCAGCTGATGATGTTCTGTATGGCACCATGTATCCTAGGTGTGTTGCACTGGGTGGAGTATTCTAGATGGAAAGACAAAAGCTCTGGTTAGTGCCAAGGACATTCATATGAAACTACTGAATAGGTTGGTGAAACATGTTCTTTGTTGAACAGGAAATGGTAGTGATTTTTTGCAAAACATCCATTAATTTTCTTTTACTGCCTGGAATGGAGCCATATTTCAGTACTTGCTGTAAACTGGACTTAAAGCTTCTAACAGGAATGCAAGTTTGAATGCAGGACTTCCTTTACTTCCTCCCTTTTACTGTCAGTCCTGCTGAAATGCTTCAGTTTTGACACCCTTATATCTGGGTCAGGACTCTGAAGAGAACAATTCCTTACACTTGGGCAGAATGTTTTAGTTTGGCTGTTTTATGGGGGCAGGCTGACTGCATTTGAAATTTCTATCTGTCTCCATCTTTGGGTGTGTGGGGTACCACAGGGAGAGGTGGTATGCTAAAGAGAAATCAGCCATGATTTTTCACTGGGGATACAGCTCAGTGTACCTTAGTATAATGTATTACCCACAAGAATAGTGAAGCATCTAAAAAGGTAGATGGAGAGGACTGTCAGGCCACTCAGCCCATCCTTTGTTACAAGGATTATGTTAAGAATGTAGTTGGCTATTTCTGTGGGGTAATAATGACGTAGCAATTATATTCTGTTTCATCATGAAGTGATGGGATATTTTATAACACTGGAGATCTATTTCTGACTATCCCATTCTCCTCTGGAAGAAAAAAGGGGTCTGTGAGCCGACCTGCATGGAAGTTATCTAGCATTTCAGCAGGCCAGACCCAGATGCTTTCACACACTTGTCCCCCTCTTGGAATTCAGTAGAATAGTAAGAAATATCAGTGTGTTGTAGGCGGGAAGGGACATCTGGTGGTTATCTGATGCAACTCCGTTTGGTTCAGTTGCAGTCAGCATTTAGCTAAATGATTTTTAAAATGCCCACAAAGCCTGGACATGTCATTCAGATGTGCAATGCACCAGACCTGTCTTTTTCCAAATCCTGAATTGTGTGTTAGCCACAGAGAGAGCTGCTGAAAGAACTGGAAAAGTTAAGAGTGTGGAAGTGTGGGGAGGAGAGGGTGAGCTTTTTGCTTTCTGATGGCTCTTCTGCCGTTGTTTAAAAGAGGTGGCATTCATGAATTCTGCTGTGGCAGAAGAGCAGAATCTGACTTTCTCAAGACAAGTCTCCAAAATTTTGGAATGTCATCAGCAGAGAGGTAGTAGAGCAAACACCAGTGGGAATCTGCAGTTCAGGTAGTGTGGGATGAATATTCAAATTGAGTAAGATGTGTCTATTTAGACACCTTTCCCTCCTACCAGGAACTTAATTGAAATGTGTTACTCCTGTGCTGGCATATTTACCTGCACCTAAAAGGAATATGATTGTCTTGTTCTTATTCCACTATGAATTATGTTTTGTTTTTATCTGGGGTCTTACCCTTTGAGACTAGAGGGCAATCTGTCACCAGACCTGTCAGAGCAAACACACTAGGGAAGGCTGTTTTCAGTCAGTGGTAGGTTTTTATCATGAATGACAATGGTGAACCCTCTGTCTACACGTACAAAGGGCTAATCTCATGTTTTCACTGACAGCTTTTTTTTTTCTTGCATACAGTGTAGACTGTCCTAACAGCTGTCACCTATAGTAAGTGTTGTGGTTTGTGATGCATAAGAATTAAGTGTTACCTAATCTTTTAATGGAGTTTACAAACTAACTACACTGTTCCTGTAGAAGGGAGTATGCAAAGCACTGTTTGTAGTTAAAACGTGTAACCTGGTCCTGTTTTAGGTATCTGCAGTAAGAACTGAGGATCTCAAGGTCTGTGCGGAGGATTTGCACAAAGTACTCGCTGAAGTCCAAGAAATGAGAGAGCAGCAGAACAACATGGATGTCAGACTGGCTAACATGAAGAGGTAGACTCGTCTGCTTCAGAGGCACTTATGTGTTGAGTGTTGCTTAGGTCTAATGGAGCTTGACTCGGAATGTGGTGTTCATTTGAACTGGAAATGGGTGAAGCTGTATTTTTTCTAAGAATCCCCATTCCATCCCACACAATGTTCTGTACCTTGTTTCATTTTATAATTCAGTTGCAGACCAGAGATGAAGACTGGGAATTTTTGACTGTTTTGGGATTTCATTTTGGTTGCCATCACCTGTAGTAGTTTTCTAGGACGATCAAAGTACTTCCTTTTCAAAACAAAAAAACCCAGGATTAAATGAGGTGAGGGAGAAATAGCCTTTAATTTTCTTTCTAAGTGGAAGTGGACTTTTCATGTCCTCATCAGATTCTTTTTGTATACGCACTGGTAATTCATTCAGGTCATTGGTATGCACGCAGGTGTCAACTAAAGTTCAGGAGATACCTTCACTTCACTCCCTCTATTCCTTGAAAACAACCAAACAACCAAACAAAACGCATCAAAGGCTAACTTTGAAACTGTTCTCAGATGGTCTGTGTTACACTCAGCCTGTTTTCAAACACTGAGTTTTGTTCTAAGGTTTTAAGGCTTTGAAGGAATAGTGCAGATCAGGATTATTGATGGAGCAGAAGAGATTGAGAATGTCCTTACTAGAGCGAGTTTGGTTCTGCCTGATGGAAAATTGAGCCAATTTAACACAGAGTTTGTACTAGTGGATTGGATTAACTGATTGTTAGTTATCCACGGAAGGAATGTTGCCATTGGTCCTGCAAGGTACTGTGAAAGTTTGAAAGCTGTAAAACTAGAGCATATAAAGTAAAATCTGTTCATCCTCTGTCTTCTGATTTATTCTGCATTGCAGAGAAAATAAGGCCCTGTGGAAAGAAGTGGCAGTTCTAAGGCAGAAGCACAGTCAACAACAGAAGCTGCTGTCTAAGGTACCATTGCAGCATCTTCAGTGCTACCATCCTTATTCCTGCCTCTGTGATACTTCATGGCATTCTTTGCTTATGTAGAATGACAAATGACACAGAGCTGAACAGGCTATATTAATACAGCATAAAGGAAATGTTCACAGTTCCTGAGTGTCCCAGAAGTAGCACAGCAAAGAACCACGAGCAAAACATTAAGGAAAAGTTGTAGGAGAAAGGATTTGCTTGTGTTTGAAATCTCAGTGATTTTCATTTGGAGAGAAATCAGTAAATCAAGCTGACCTGGGGTAAACTTGAGGCTGGAGGCAGCGCGTGGTAACAGGAACCTAAAACAAGAGACTGCAGGCACATGGAATGGAGTCTGTGAAAGATCTTGGACCAAGACAATATTAGCCCACTCAAGAAGTCAACTTGGATCCCAAAAAGTATAGGAGCTTCTGCACTGGAACAGATTTTCTCTGGTTTATCCCTCAGCTCTTTCTGGTCTGGAATTCTCTAGTGATTTGTGGTGTTATATTACATTTAGAAAAAAAAAAGCCAAAAACTGTCTGAGTGGGGTATTTTTTCAGTGCCATCGGTAGCTGTCATTTTGGTTTTTAAGACACAAACGGAAATGGATTTGTAATTTACCTACTAATTTCAATCACATAACTACATAATTTTGTAGTAAAATCTGAATTATTAAGTTAACATTAGGATTGCTGTGCTGACTACTTGGTTTTTGTTTGTATGTTTTTCCTTTTTAGATTCTTCAATTTATACTAAGTTTGATGCGAGGAAATTATATTGTTGGGGTCAAAAGAAAAAGGTAATTACTGGATAGTTCAAAAATCAGTTTCAAATATGAATTATAGGGATAAATCAGCTTCTAAGAGCAAGATACTTAAAGTGTATGAAGAATATTTTTATCACTTGTATATTCAAACTTGCATAAAGCATCAAATTAAGATTTCTACTTCTTTATCACTAAAAAAATTGCTGGGAAGAGACTATGCATCTTGAATTCTGAAGGACAGAGTTATGAAAAAGAGTACTCTTTCAAAATGTAACAAAAAGTTTGTTTAGAGTGCAGCCTGTCTGCAGTACACTTGGTAAAAAACATTTCTAAAGGCCAGTTATCTTAGAAGTGGAAAAATGATTGTTCTTACCATTGCTGCATGTATTTGGCATTGCTACAGCTTTTTACTATTGGACCCTATACTGAAGCCATGTTTTGTCTCAGGTCTCTAACAGATGCTGCAGGTGCTTCACCTTCCAAATACAGTCGTCAGTATGTTCGCATACCTGTTGAAAGTGGCCAAGCAGTAAGTTTTCCCAGGGAAAGAATCGATGGGTTGGACAGGATGATACACAGTGGTCTCAAAGTCTTCCTTGTAACTCTTAATGCCCTAGTCTTACAATCAGATGCACTCCATTTTGAAATGGGCAGCTTTAAAGCATTGCTATCATGGAGGTCAGTACAACTAGTAAAAGATGAACTCTGAGCAGGACAGAGAAGGTGCAAAAACAAAGAAAGCAAGAAAAAAAGACCTTAAAGACCTTTTTGTTTTACTCATTCTACTCATTGTGTTTGCTGTATCCTGCAGGTGGCTTTTTCTGAACATAGTGCAGATGATGAGGACGGGAATGGTACAGGTCTCATCATTCGAGATATCACTGATACCATGGAAAATGCCACCAGTGGTCTCCCTGCTGTGGCACACACAAGTGGCCGAGCCAGGTACGTTTAAAGGGTGTGGAAGTATTTATGCCTAGATTGTTACTAGGTGGTTATGTTTGTGTAAATGATCCATATGAATCCTGGGAAACAGCTTCTCAGAGTTTTTCCTCCATTTGTGCATGACAGACCTGTTGGTAGGCTGCCTTTTTTACAACATGTAGCATTAGTCATGGGGAGCAAAGATTTTTAGGAGCTCATGTCTCTTCAGGAGTACCTGAAAGGCTGTCAAGCTGATTGCACTTGAAGTTTAATTTTCTGATGCTTTTCTGTCTATTCAACAAATAAGCACATACTAACTTTTTGATTGAATAGGGACATGAATGCATATATTGATTACGAATAAACAATCCAAAATGTATCTAAGTTAGTAATAAACAAACCAAGATCCAGTTGATGATTTCTCCTGTATGTTGTTTCTCTTTGGGTCATATTTTAGAGAGCCACAGGCCCCTATGGATCCTGGCTTACCTATTTGTCAAGTATCACAGCCAAATGTGTTAAATTGTGCAGAATCTATCCCACCAGTTCATATAAATGATGTCAACAAACTCGGTGAAATAGGAAATGTTGCTGTGGAGCTCCATACTGCACAACCTAATACTCCAGAAGACCCCGTGTCAGTGATTGACTCCATCTTGAATGAAAGCAGCTCTGGAAACCAAAACGATCCTTTGCTGGACAGGTATTAACTTGTTTCTGGAAACTGTTACACTGCTACCATCTTGTGGGATCTTGTCAAAGTTCCAGGGGATGTGTTTAGCAGAACATTGTGATTTATGTCTTTAAATGTTGTTGAACTTTGTTTTCCTGTCCTTTTAGATCTTTAAACAATTTTCTGTCCTGTTTTGAACACCTAGGTTTAGATTTCTCAATTGCTAGTGTGCCGTCAGGGATTAAGGACATGATCTGAGATTGTTCAGCTGCTCGTTTGGCTTCAAAATTGGCCAAATTATTTCCAATTTCCTGATCAGAGTCACCTTGTTGATGTCCTTTACAGTACATAATAGCTACTTCTTCAGGTAGCTGAGCAGATTCCAGTAATTGTAGAATTTCTGTGGCATGTTTAATCTGTTTCCCTTGTGTGTTCAAATGGTCCTCGTTCTTTCCAGATAGCACCGTGTGCATGGACCACACCAAACGCGTATTTAGAATCAGTCCAAATATTTATCCTTTTGTCTTCAGCCAATTCCAGGGCTCTCATTAATGTTATTATTTCTGCCTTCTGGGCAGAGGTGTTCATGGGTAAAGGTTTAGCTTCTGTTACCTGTAAAGTGGTGGTAATGGCATATCCTGCCTTTTGTTCACCATTTTTCATGAAGCTACTACCATCAGTAAACCAAGAATCAGCATCTTCCAGAGGTTTTTCTTTCAAGTCTGGTCAGCTCGAATAGTGACCAAGCAGTTGTGTGATAGTGGTTCTGTCGATTGTTCCTGTAAAAAAAGATGCAGAGCGCCATAACCGTGGATCCAAAGTCTGCACCATCCAGTCATTCCCAGGAATGTTCGGAGCTCCTTGACGGCCGACAGTCGTGGAGTCTTGACAAATGGCTTCTTTTCTAGCAGCTCCAAGTTTTCTCTCTTCTCCTGTTATTTCATATCCTAGGTAGGAAACTCAGGTTTGGATTAGTTGACCCTTCTGTTTGGATACCCAATAACCATTCAGTCCCAGAAAATTTAATAATTCCACTGTCCACTGGATACATTCTTCCTTTGTTTCAGCAGCAATTAACAGGTCATCCACATACTGTAACAGAGTCCCGGTCTGAGTAGGTGGCTTCCATAATGCTAACTGATTTCCAAAACTTGACTGTTTTTAAACCCTTTAGGTAATACCATCCAAGTTAATTGAGTTTTTCTTCCTGTGTCAGGATTTTTCCCATTCGAAAGCAAATAATTTTGGCTTTCTTTGGCCAATGGTAAGCAAAAGAAAGCGTCCTTTAAATCCAGGACGGCAAACCATTTCTGATTTAATTTTAGTTTGGTCAGTAAAGTATATAGATTAGCCACTACAGGGTGGGTGTCCTCTACTATTCTATTTATTGCCCTTAAATCTTGAACTACCCTATAGCTTTTCCCATCTGCTTTCTTTACTGGTAAAGTGGGGTTGTTATATTCCGATTCACATTCCACTAATAAATCATATTTTAAAAATTTATCAATAATTTCCCTTCTATCTTGTATCCTTAAAGGATACTGTTTTATTTGAACTGGGCAGCCCCCTCTTTTTATTTCAGTTTTAATAGGCAAAGCATTCTTTAACTTCAGGTAGGAAGTGCTGATGATGTGTCACAGCACTTCCTGTGACCTAAAGGCCTTCTGATGTCTCATCTCATTGGCACTGCAGCATGGGGTGATGCCTTGGAACTATCTGCTACTGGTAGTTGAGTATTCCAGTGCAGGAGGTAGCTTGCAGCACAGCAAAGAGTTCAGTACTGGTGCTGTGCGTGCAGCTCCCTTTCCACTTCATTCAGTGTCCCTTGAATCATGCCCTGTCCATGGAAATGCATACAATTTGGCAACAATCTGATGTTTCAGTATAGGAAAATAGGCAGTGTTCCTTCAGATGGAGGTATTTTCCAGCTCTTTGTTATTATTTGTTGTCCCCAGGTGAAAGCCATCGGGCCTTATTTTAAACAGATGTTGGTCTATAGTCTGTTGATCTATAGATCCAAGAATATTCAAAAGATATTAAATTGAAGGAGGATGTAGATATGGAAGGAGGAACTGCCTTTTTTTATGGTAGCTGTTATTGTACTTGCACTTCAGATAGTCTTCCCTGTACCTGTCCTTCAAAGAGTTGAACTGTGAAAAGTGATAAAGGAATGTGGTTTCATTAATTTGGCAATAAGCTATTCTGGAATGTGAGCAATCTGCCTTTCATGCACAAGAAGGTCCTAACAACTGTTTCTTACAGCACTATATAATTCTGTCTTTTTAGAGAAGAAATTCAGGATTTTCTTAATTGCATCGACGCCAACCTTGAAGAGCTTCAAGCAATGTTATCTGGGAAGCAGTATAACTTTGGTTCTGAAGCTTTCAGTGATGTGAGTGTCTTTTTATGATTTCTGAAAAATACTGATGAGGATGCATCATGAAATTTTACTGGTTTATTCCATGTTGTAATGGGCAAGGGGAGGGGGAAATTCTGAAAAGCAAGTACTTATGAATAGAATGCGGCATAGGCATTCTAGGAGTCTTTAACATGGTACAAGGTAACAGAGAGCCTTTTTCAGTTCATACAGTATATCTGTTACACAGAACTCAAGGAGGGGGGGGGGAAATGGAAAAAACTGGACTCACTTCTCCTCAAGCCTTCACCACTTATCATCACATCCTGCTTATGTGGTTATGCATTTATAAGATGCAATGAAACTCAGCCATACACCTGGAATTACTGGGCAACATGGTGTCTTTCTCTTCTCCTGTGACCTCAGTTTACCACCACAGGGTAAAAGGATATTGCTGTCAGCCTGTGGGGGAGCTACCTTCCTTGTGCTTCAGCAGGTGGTGTGCTCTTTATCCTGCTTTCCTTTCAGGACCTGTCTGAAGTTTGTTTTAAGGGCCTTATTATATTACGTATGGCCTGGTTTTGGTTTGTTTTTTTTTTCAGACACTTAATCCTGAGCTACCAGCCCTGGATATGAACTTGATGGAAACTTCCCCTGGTATGGAAAATGTAAGAGTAAGATTTGCTTCGATGATGGGGAGGGTTAAGATGATGTGGAGAGCTAAAATTTCACTGATGCAGTTTGAGGATAGGGACTGGATTAATAGCACCGCATGAAACCACAATTTTATCTTGTCCTGCTGACTTAATGTTTTCAGTTACATGTATTAATTCAGTTGGCATATATGAATTTCAGCAGCTTCTCAAGATAATTTCAAATGTTATGTTCCTGGCTGCATTAGTACAGTCAGTGGGGTGACTTAAACTGCCACTTTGGTTTGAATAACCTGTTCTGTGCGTTCTGAATACACCTGGGAAAATACGGAAGAGGGAAACAAACTGGTGTGTATTGAATTAGCTGCCTATATTGAGGAACTTTTTATTCTTACCTATTACTTCTATACCTTCTGTTTAGAATTAGAAGGCTAGAAAATCATCTCTTTTTGATCAAAGTGTATTGAGAGCAGTTTCTTGGCTTATTTTTCCTAGCCTCAGGGATTCCCATGGTGTCTTTTAGCCAAGTAATAACTAGATCTGGGGTTATAGTTCAGATGGGATTGTGTCTTCAGTCTGCCTGAAGACTGAATGAAAAGTACTACATGAAAAATATAATGCAATATACTGTATTTATTCTGATCATGGCTATATGAAATTTCCTCAGAGGACATACAAAAGTTCAGTGTCAATTTACTTATCTTGGTTCAGTTCCTAGAATTGACTCATGTTAGAAAAAAAAAAAAACAAAACCCTTGCAAGTGTCATTTATTTTGTAGTCCTAAAGTAATATTTAGTCTAATAATAATATTTAATCTTAGGACTTCCCAGCCATAAGAGTTTAGACTACAACTGAGGCAAAATGCAGCTGTGTTCAAGCAGTGCTTGCAGGATTTAATTATATTGATGAATTGATGAATGATATTGATGAAATCAATATAATTAATGTTAACAGCACTATTTCTTCAAGACAGACAATAATAAAGCTTCTGGTTTGGAAGTTAAAATAAATTTTTGCTAGTCAGAAACTTGTTTGCTTTAGTAAGTTAAGTTTATCTGTATTTGTCCATGCCCTCTCCTGAGAGCTCTAGTTTGCTGGCCCTCATGTCAACAATGGGCTCATTGATCAGGTGTTCCAATTCTCCTCCCTCCTCCTTTCACCTTTAATTTTGTTAACCAGTCAGTGGAGACTTTGATTTTGGTTTTGTTATTCTTGTTGTTTTCAGTGTTCTTACTCTATCCATTTTGTTCAGATTGCAAACTTGGCAGAGAGCACTGAAGACCTGGGATCAAGTGAGGCAGAAACAGCAGGAAGCAAAGGTGGGCAGGAAGGAATGCTGAGAGCTGTGTCAGCTCCAAACTCTTCCAAAACTGTATGTTGAAATGAAATCTTTGTAGCGAGTATTGTCATTTATCTCCTTTTGGTCTGGACTTAAAAATTTTTGTGAACACTAGGATGTTTCACTGATCTTGATGAAGCTGCACTTCAGAGGCCCCATCCTGTGCCCCGTGTTGGTGTTTACCATTTCCTTTTCTTATGCATGACACAGTGCCACAATAGAGAGTAGAACTGCAAACATCCTTGTGGAAGTCTCTCTTACATGGGCTACAGCCCCTGCAAATGCACTCATTTTGCTACTTCGGTGCTGCCATTGCATGCCATATGCATAAGGGGGCTTGGAGTTCAGATACTCAACAGACACAGGAGCCTTAGCTCCACTCTTGCAGCTGTGGGTTTAGTCTGTCAGACCTCAGCTGTGTGGTTTTCTCTAGTGAACCAAATTTTGAAGCAGCCTCTCCAATTTTCTTTGTCTTTCTTTGCTACTTACATGACAGAGGAGCCTGGAGTTTAAACTGTTTGTTTTCTCTCAGATATGCAGCTGATACAGTACAGGGCCAATCCTCTGCTTTCATTATTTGAAGAACTACCTTCAGGTGAAGCTGCAGGGAAGATAGAGGACCCAAAAGACCTTCTGCTGCCTCCCCTGGAGGAGAAACCTGCTCTTCATCCTCCATCAGGTAGTGGAACTGTCTTGCCGCTAGTAGCTCCAGCAAGCCAAGCTGAGCGTCTGGATGCTCTGGGAATGGGTGACCCACCTCTCCTCTCAGAAGATGGAAATGGAGAGTATAAACTCTTTCCACTCTTGCTCCTTAGTCCTGTTGCTAACTTCATAGAAGAGGCCTCTGAGATAGAAACTTCTTGAACTCGCATCGCATCTGTAACTGGCTTAGCAATGACAAATAGATAACAAAGTGGATCAGCAAGAAGTTTGACCTCTCTCCTCGCCTGCTTCCTGGGTGTCATATGGACATATGTCTATGGACAAATGAAAGTTCTCATCAAGCAAAGAGCATATCTGGAAAAACTGAAAAGGTGGTGAAAGCAGGAGCTGGTGGGAGTGGAGGCACTGGGGGTGGGGGGAAGAAAAACCTCCTTATAAGCATACCACAACATATTCCATAACTTTTTATCCAATATCTTTATTGCAAGAGGAGATTTGTTTGTATCCTGTTTGTAACATGTGGCTGGGTTTTTTTTTTTTCTTGGGGGGGGGGGGGGGATGTGTTGGTTGTTTGGTTTTGTTTTATTTTATTAGCTGAATAGTAATGTGTGTAATATTTTAAACATGGGTTTTACTCTTCCTTAGAGCCTGTTTCAGTAGATGGCTTGTCTACTGTTTGGAATTAGGATTTATTTCTGTTTTTTAATTTTGTTTTCAATTTGAGATCTCTTTTTTTTGATAGTTTATGGCTACAGTTGTTTGCATCTGCTTAGATCACTTCCGTGCTCCTAGATTTGCTCCTAGGTACAGGGAACATTTTTCCTATGGAAAATTGCATTTTAACGGTGGAATATTACTTGCTAACATGCTAACACACATCCATTGCCACGGATTGTAGGTGTTGTGGTAGGAAGTGCTCGCCACCCTGCATAATGCTGATTTCTCATGCACATTGCATGGCAGTTCTTGTAGGATAGCTTGCACATAGCACACAGGTCATGTGTCCTCCTCAGAAATTTTGAGTAGAACTGATTCACGTCTAGTAAAGTCCAGCAGCTTCCCTTAAAAGGGGGGGAGGGGGGGAATAAACAACAAGAAAAAGAGTCATGGGGTAACTTGCACTGACATAGGTCATTACATTAAGGTTTCTCTTCTGCTTGTGGTAACTGCTTATTTACCTGACCCTACATGAGCATTTTTTTTTGCTTCTGGAAGCTAAATTAACCAGCTGCATTTGAGTCCTTTGACAGCAAATTACAAACACTGGTGTCTGCTTAATCAAGAACATCTTTCCCCAAAATTCCTTTCTTTGCTGTGTTCCCCAACTTCTTTGAGCAGCTGTAATGCAGACATCAGCCCCTGGTGTCAGTGAGGTAGCAAGTTCTTCACTGATACCAGGTTTGTAGCAGTCTACCACTAGACCACACAAACCTGAAATTTGCTGTTGTGTTACTAAACTGATGGGGCTAGAAGAGCCTGGAGACAGGTAACAAACCTGTTGTATAATTTCCTGTGATGTTTCCTACCAGCACAATTACTTGAAATTTATTTCACTTTTAGGAATTCAGGCTACCTACAGGCTTTGTTCTCTCCAAAGTTTCTGAACTTGTAAGTTTTGAGTTCTTTTATATTCAAGAACCCAAGGTAATTTGATATTCTGAAGCCTAGTAGATAATGCATGATATCTATGCTGGGCTTAATTGGATTTGTGCTTCATTGTCAAATCTTTTGGTGCAGAGGAGGATCTTGCTACTGAGTGTGTGTATATGTGTAATGCTTTTACTGTGTCATTTTATTCTCATGCTTCTGGAACTGTTCTTTACCTCATGCCCCCTCATGTTTGTATCTTTTAAATTGCCTTTTGTCAAGTTTGTCTTATTCTAGCCTTTTCCAGTTTTTCATTTGCTTACTTCTTGAGACAAAGGGCTGAATAGTCTCAAGTTTTCATGAGCTAAAGGGAGAGAGGAAATGGGTGAAATGCATTTCTGTCTTGGGTTCAGGTTTGGTTTGTTGTTTTGGGGTTTTTATTTCTTCCCAAAGGTCTGAGTTCTGCCAAGAGTTGAAGCAGTAGAAAGCAGGCTTTTCTTCTGTGCTGTTTCGACAGCACTGTGCAGACAACCACATTCTTTGAGAGGCTGATCTATAACTCCGACTTCCTGAACAGGTTAGACTGAAGTGTAGTTCCTGTTATGGATTACTGTCATGTTCTTCCATCACGGAGTCCTCTGATCTCAGTGTATCTCACCATCAGATATTTGATCTGGTTGCATAAAAGTTTTTTAATGCACTTTGTCTCTTAAGAAACCAAAGCTTAAGAAAACTGCAAATACAAACTTGTGCATCTGTGTTTGGTTTATGTACTGGTCTAGGAAAAGTGTTTGTTTATGCAAGTTTCCTAAAAAAAAATAGTAAAAAAAATATGATAATGGAAAGGGGAAGGCTGAGTAGAAGGAAAAATCCACATCCTGAAATAATTAAATGCAAGAATTGCAAAACCATTACTGTGTTTCTTGTACATTTGTTTTGTTTGTTCCTCTGTGTGTGCTAATACTTCCCAAAGTGGCTTACTGAGTTTTCTAGAAAGGAGAGCTGTAGTGCTCTCCAGAGTATCCTATTAGGCTGGCTGAAAAGTAACTGACATGCTACGCATAGCCTGGCACCTGTTTGCAGAGGTGTCAGCCTGAGGAAGGAAGAAAGATAAGGTTTATTACTAATCCATATTCAACATACCATGGAATGAAAGCTTGTGGGAATGGGATTGAACACCACTGACAGTGAAGGGCCAGGCTGGCTTTGGGCATTCTGGCATTGCCTACAAATGGTGGGAGCTTACTGGGAGCCAGCCTCCACATTACGCAGTGAGGGAATCTGACAGATTTCATAGGTGGTGATGTGAAAGCTCAATGGGAGTCTGTGTGAAAGTCCTGGAGGATGAAATGGCATTAAGTTGGTAAGAGTCCAGAAACTTCTGGGATACTCGGTCCCTCTGTTACCTGCTTTATAAAAAAGATTAACAAAAGCTTTCAATTTGTTGTTACCTTTGTTCACAGAGTTGGAATATTTTCCTTGATAGGAGCACACAATACACACCTCCCTCTCCACACTTCCAATTCCCCATCTCTCTCTTTTCTATAATGAACAAAGTTGATATTTTTGCTTAAATCAGCAGTTGGTATGTTTAGGCATAGGAACCATCATCTCTTCCCTTAAAAAAAAAGGTATTGGCACCTTAAGATCATGTATCGTACAGTGTTAACTTAGATTCACTATGTTACAGCTGTTAAGGGTGGTTATCAGACAGATTGAGCATCTTCTAATACTTACCTATGGCTTCTTCCTTTAACATTATTTCTATTCTGATTTCTAGATTCATTCTATTACTTACTCGTTTGTTAAAAAAAAAAGATGCTATTGCGGAAACCAACAATTCTAATTCAGAGCCATGGCGCTCTGGTTGGTTTTTTTTTTGGCCATTAAGTTTCAGCCAGGGGGGTGTAACCTCACACAGAGTGTGAGGGATTGTCCAGGGTCCCTGTTGCTTGGTCAAAACTTGGCATCCCATGTCGCAGGATCCTAGTGTTAGCCTTGTACCTGCTGTACCCCACTGCCAGCGCAGCAGGGCTTGACCCTTTCATCTGTTCTTGTGGGTGTAGCCAGAGCAGCTGGCTTTTCCTTTTCCTTTTCCTTTTGGAGACCGTATTTAGTATTTCAGCTGGGATGGGACACCCAGATTACTCTTTCCCAGTTTGCCAGCTCACACTGTGGTTGCTCAGCCCAAGGACTGCACAAGCATCCTCCCTAGTCAGGCACCCACCCCATCCTTGCCTTGCTACCCTTTCCTGAAGAGCTATTTCTCTCTGGGGCTCTGCCAGGTACACCAGATGTAGTGCACCAGTGCAAGGGAGCTTAATGAACTCCAGTGAGAAGCCCTCAGCTCCATCAGGTATGGATTAAAACATTTACTGGAGATAACATGAGAAGGAAATAGGGAACAGCATAGGTGATCTCAGCACCAGGCAGACCTCAGGCCCAGGCACAGTGCACTATGCAGAGCCCATGCTGAGGTTAACTGGCAGTGTGGGCTTTACAGTTTTTGTAGGATATTCCTAGAAGAACTCTATTCATCATTTCCACTGCCAAGAAAAAAGGATGCTTCAAGGAAAACATGCTGCTCCGCTTCAAGGTAAGGGCATGGGCACAGCAGTGGCAGTATCACTGGGATATGGACAGACTCTCCTGTTAGGAGGAGGTACCCAAGCCTGTCTGCATCCACAGTGAGTGGATGGCAGAGGATCACCACCCCCTCTATGCACAGCAGCATGCTGGTTGGGACTGCAACTTGATGGGTAACAACTTGGTGTTACCAGTGACCACAGTTGCTTCACTATAATGCAAGTTTCCTTCCTCCTCTGGCGTCAGCACACAGCTTCTGCTTGTACTTCTTGGTTTTAGTGCCCTGTGGCTGGGAAGGAAAGGTTGGTTTTCCTTGACTTCCGTGTGCTGAGAATTTACGGAACACACTCACGCATGGCAAGCACAGCGTGAGAAAGTGAAAAGTGCCCTGCAGAGGCTCCTTTTACAATTAGTATTTATATTGTCCCAGACTAGCACTCAGCACGCAGACCATGTCAGCAAAGCCTTCATTTATTATCTCATGCTGTGTACTTGCTAACACAGAGCTTTCCAGAACATGAGCTCTGTCTCTCATGGACTGTATGATGCTGCCTCATCCAGTGCCTGCTCAAAATGTTTTTCTGTCTCCTAAAATAAGATTGCTGTTTTGAAAAGTAGTTATCTGTTATCCTATTTTCCCAAAGCAGAAGCAAGCGATTACTACAAAGTCATCTTAGTGTGCAGGTGTCTGTGCTTGCGTCATGTAAAAGACAAGAGATCCCTCCTGCTAGTGTCCCCCCCAGCCAAACAGGTAAATGTAAACAGAAATACATAAATATCTACACATCCTGATTTTGTCAGCAGTTTGAGTTTTAGCTTCCTGGTTTGTACGTACCCTGCTAGTGGCAGGTTCCCTTATGACTTAGTCTGAGTCAGTTGAGGCTTCTGCCCTCCTGTCCAGCCAACCATGTTCCCCAGAAAGCAATTTCATTAATTTGAACTTAACATACTATTTTCTCATCCTTTTATGAGCCAACAAGTATGTGAACGCTGCGACCCATGGAAGCTTTTCCTGCTTTTCCCCATCCCAGTGACTGCAGCTTGGAGTTGCATCTCATGGAAGATTTCTGAGGAATTGTAATGGATGGGAACCTAGCTGAGAGTCGATACCCTCTCGTGACTGAGAGACATAACCAAGAATACAGATTTTTGGTCGAAGTGTATTCAGTAGGGTGTATATATTTATGTTCAGTGTGACTGTCTGAAAGAGGCAGGAAAACAGTGGTGTGCAGCTGTTCTGTGACCTTTATATGTGGCTGCACTGGGGTGCCTGGACAATGCTCTAGGCACTGACAAAAGTGAACTCATCAGAAGGTGCATGGCCCCACGAACAAACAATTAGAGAGCTGGCATAAAACCAGTTGACTTTTAAAGGGTATAAAAGCAGAAGCCTCTTGTGGCCAAATCCAAGGCCGCACCTAGGGGTGGACACACCGCATAGGAATTTTCCCAACTAGCTGGGACTGCTGGCACTGGCTGCAGTGGGGCTTCCCAGCTTGGAGTGTGGGTCTGGATGATGATTTGGTGGTAT